TCCTTACTGTAATGAGGGGCCCAAAACTGAGCACAATACTCCAGTTGCGGGCGCAGCAGAGTTGTATCGCCTGAGACCCAATCCCGTGCCCTTAACCACTACACCACACCAGCACTCACCAAGGTGTTCTGTCCCTGCCACTTCCAAATCAATGCTTTTCTTCCTGGCAACTAGGATTGCTGGGAATAGCTTTCTCTTCATGCTAAAAGCTGTGGGTTTGGCTAGTGGTTGGTACAAAAATGCAATAAAAGAAATGGACATGATTCATACAAGTTGCTTAACGTGTTAGGACTCCAGCCTCCCTCTCGGCGTTGTATTCAGACTTTTCAGTAAGTTGCTTGTCTGCTGCCTTCCTCCCACAGCAGGCTTTCTGCGGTGGAGCCCACAAGTTTCTGACCTATTCACACATGTTCATGCTCTCCCCAAAAGGGTGTCTTAAAGTGCTTCGATATCCCAAAAGCCTGTCATTTTGTCCCCAGAACAGAGGACACTGTTCTCCATGTGCCTTGGGCACCTGCTCAGAGAACATAATTGTCTTATACCTGAAAAGTTACACCTGAAAAGCTGGCAGCAATTCTCCACTCAGGCTGAAGGCTGGGATGGTGGCCATAGTGAGTTGCTTCTGGGCCTCTAGGTATTTCGGCCTACAGGTTGCCTCGTCCCTCCCCATTGGCTAGGCTGGCTGGGGCTGATGGAAGCGGTAGGCCAATGCCTCTGCCCATCCCTGGTGTGGGACAGGAGATCTATCTGCAAGTTAAGAGCATAGAAGTCTCTGTACCTCCACATGCCAAGCACAAACTATCCATAAATGTGAACAGCACAGACGGTTTTGTGTGTGCGCACCAAGGTTGTCCCACCATTATGTCAAGTCAGTTGGCCCTCCACTGATGTCAAGTCTTGACACCCAAGTCAGGAGGCTTCTGGGGCAAAATATCGGGGGCCACCCTGGTCGTTGTGGCCCTAAACTGAAGGGAGGGACTATGGAAACCGATGAAATCAGCCCAAGGGATCAGTCCGAGGAGGGCTGGCACAGGAGGTCGTCTTGCCCGTAGAAGAGGTCAAGGTGGCACCCAACCAGGTTGGCAGCTGGATCTTGCTTCAACACTGGTGCCAGGATGGCATCACACACCACATGTGAGAGCAGCAAGTGAGCTTTGCATGTGCCAAGGGAGGCCGCACGGCCTAAGCCGCTCTATCCGCTGGTGCACCCTGCCGCCCTTGCTCCCCCGCATCCGCTGTCTCGCTCTCCCTGATGGTAGGGCCGGCTCTACTCAGCATTCATTCATGAAAAGACATGCCTGAGAGCTGGGATGCCTAGCATGGCACCCACAGCCCCCGATCTGCCCACGGACACACGTCTTGGTGATGGCCAAGCTTTTATTTATGGGGAGGCCGGCCTGCTACACAATCTTCTAACTCCACATTGCTTTGTGATCAAAAGAATAGCTTTGTGCTTTGGAGTTCAGACAACACATCGGCCTCACACTTCACTTTCCTGCTCTCATGAGGGTACCTTTTATGAAATTAGTGACCAGGCAAGCTGACTCCTAGACATTTTATGGACAGGCCACACCCCCCACAGCAGCCATTTTGTGAGAGCGCCCACTACATTCAACATTCCAAATATGCCCACTAACCCAAAATACATTGGAGAACTGTGTCCTACCTCTGGTGAAATGAGCAAGTGTGGTGAGTGGGGAGTGCCCCAAACTCTGTTTACTAATGTGGTAAACTCTGTCTACTACATTACTGATGTCGTATTTATTTCATCTCTGTATTGCCCAAGCATTGCTGCTCTCTGGGAGGTTCGTAACAACTTACAAACCCAATACTACCACTACTACAACAATAAAATAAAGTACAAAAATTAAAAAATCAGTTGCCAAAACAATTCTAGTGGAAACAGACCATTCAAAAGTACACCCATCCTACATGCCATCAAACAATCTTACGTGTGATTAATGCCATTGGTAGGTATTAAGTGCATCTCCACACCCTCACAGACCGCATCCTGCCTCCCCAACTCCCACTGAAGATATCCCACCAAGTCTGAAGGGAAGCCTTCATCCATCCACTGAATCACACAAGGTGGCTCTCCATCCATTAGAAGCCCCCAAGTGAACCACCTTTCTGAAGGGGTGCAGAGCTATGCAAAAACCGAGTGTGGAAGCTGCAGACACAATACTGCTGACCGTATGGCAGATGTCCAGAAGCATCTGAAGTTACCCATCAGCAATTTTAACTGAGCCGAACCATGTGGTGTGGCCAATGAATAGGGTGAGACAGAGAACCCAGAGGAAAATTAAGGCGAACAAACTGGAGAGGGAGCTGGTTTGTAAGAAGCCCCCCCCCCCCCCCCCCCGCCGCCAGCACATCCAGGCACCAGCATCCAGTGGAGACAAGAATCCTGACTAATGGCAGAACTTTCCTCCTTGCCTCTTGATACCAACAGGTGTACAGCAGAGAAGCAGTGTGCTCCACCATCCACATGGCTTCCAAAGGTGCTAGTCCCCAGCAAAGTCCCCAACACCTCAAATAGCTAGTAGGGTTAGCATGTATTAACCTGATTGCCCCATATTAATTTAGCCTGGATACAAGCTGCAGTTCAACTAGAACTGCCTTGCCAGTAATAATTGAAAAAATTGCAACGGATACTGTGAGTAAACAGTTAACACCTCATCTGGAAGGAAGGCCAATCCAGTTTACAGCAGTCCAGCCACAAACTTTGGCTTTGTGTATAATTGCAGTGGGATTAAGGGTTTACTGCTCCCCCTGTTGTGCTGGACTGAATGTTTGTGTGTATTCACACAGCACTTGGCAGCTGAACCAAAGTACATTTCTCCTTCGTCCTTTGCAAAATGCCTTCCTCACAGCATGAAGGGGGATATGTGGAACAAATTGCCTAAGAGCTGACTTCTGAGACTGATATAAAGCATGCAAATTTAGGCAAATTTCCATTCCTTTGCTTCATTTGCATTCATAATTCACGATGCTTTTACTGAACACATGGGGAGGCAAGGAATTTTGCATGGCTTTGAAACCTCACGCTTTCCCAAGATTTCTTCATGCCCTAGTTGTAGTAGTTTAAGTTACCACTTTTGCAGCTTTAAGAGGCTTTGTGTTACACCTTTGACTAAAGGAATCTTATAGCTAAATTAAACCTCCTTATCCAGGGGAAGTGTATCTTTAGGGACAAAGAGCAGAGGGAAAACTACCCTGACTCAAATTATCAGCTGTTTGGATGCCTCCAGAAACAGAGTCTTGGACCAGATGATCCAGCAAGAAAATCAGACATAATGTGTGCAAAAGAAAGCAGCAACCCGAAATTTCAGAATCTTTTCTGCAACTGAAGAGCACTTTCTTGATGTGTGTGAAACATAACCAAGCCCTATGCAGCAAAGTTAGAAATGGTGTGAGGCAAACCATTGCCATGAGGGGGAACCAGGAGACTCTCATAATGCTTCTCACCCACCCCAAAAATAGCTTCTCACATTGGCAGTAGTTCCAGCTACTCCTCCCAGGCTGTTGTAGAGCGCCCAGCCAAGTTCTGGGCTCCTATCATTACCCCACAGCCATAAAGATCTGTGTGAGCTGGCCAATTCTGTGGCACAGCAGACATGCTGTGGAGTCTGGAAAGGCGGGCGGGGGGGGGGGAGAATAGGCTTGGTTTGCTAAAATTACAAAGACCCAGGCTCAAGGGGCCTGGATAGCCACCCCCACTGCTGCCTAAGAAACCTGTACTGATTACAGGTGTGTTGGAGTGCAGGTTATATCATTCAATGGAAAATCACTCTGCACCAGCTCAAGGGCAAGTTTTTATATTATTGTTATGCTGTGGATTGAGGACATGGCAACAAAGACCAGTTAGAGTGCAGGAAGAGCTAAACCGGCAAACCCATCAGAAATCATCTTAGTTGGACATCGTCAGAGACAACACCCAAACAAACAAACAATAACTAGTTCCTGAGGACTAGACTCTTGACAGCAAAAAGATGATGGGAAAAGGTGCAATCCCAGCATCCTCAGAGTTACCAGCCTTTCTTCTGTCTAAACATATACAATATTGTGCCCTAAATATATCAAAAAGCCTTCAACAAGCTGGACATGTCATCTGAATACACTACTCAGAGGAGCTCGAAGGTGCAATCCTATGCATGTCAGAAAAATACCTATTGCATCTCCTAGAATGCCAGAAATTATAGAGCCCCTTTCCGTTTAAACATGTCTAGAATCCTCTCAGCCTGTCTGCCCACAACCAAAATAGAGTCATATTCTTCACCAGCTCACCTCTTACCTCCCTCTTGTCTGGGTTGAATCTTCGATTGTAATCTCAACGGGGCAAGGATCTATCTTTTATTTTGCAAAGTCAGATGCAAATCAGTAGCACAATAAATGCCAGGAAGGGGCACATTTTAACAGTAGGAGCGGGGAAGAAGAGCAAGCGGCAACCCAACCAGATAACCTTAAAAAAATAAAAAATAAAAACAGCCGGCCTTTTACTCTACAGGGGACGGACTCTGGGTTCCAACTTTGAAATTCTAAGCAGCCATGCTCCTCATTATTTATCTAAAATTATTTACAGGCGGCCTTTCCTCCAGAGCAACTCCCAACGTGGTTTACACTAAAGGCGCACACAAGTTGCTGCGTTTCGTGGCATTACCAACAATTTCAAGTCCGCACACCAAACTCATTAAAAACGGCGCCCCAGAATGAGCAAAACAGCAACGAACGCGGCTTGCTTCGTCGGAGCGCTGAGGCGAAACGGCAAAGTTCGGCTTTTCCTCCCCTCCGAAAGAGAGGCGGAGTCGCGCGCAAAACCCTCCAAGAGCCGAAAGGCGAGGGCCAAATCCCCGGCGCGCGACTTCAGCTCCTCGGGAAGTCAAAGCGGAGTGGGCTGGACTCACCCCACCGCGGAGCAGAAGCGGCGGCTCCCTACCCCGGGACGGGACGGGACGGGACGAGGCGGGCTGCGCGCCTCACCTGCCGCAGGCGGCACTTACCCCGAGCCCGGAGCCTGCCCCGCGTTGCCGGAGGAGGATGCGCGCGCGAGGCTCTCGGAAGGCGCGCCGGGGCGCTGCGAGCGAGCGAGCCAGCCAGCCAGCCAGCCAGCCAGCCCAGGGGAGCCCGGCCGCTGCCGCCGGCGCTGCTGCGACGCCGCGTCTTGCCTGTGCGCGGCGGCCGCCCGCCCGCCGAGCGCCATCCTCCTCCTCTCCTCCTCCTCCTCCTCCAAAGGGGCAGGCACGCAGCGCGCTCGCAGCCCGCCTCGCAACGGCCCGCCAGTCCGGCACGCGAGCGCCGCCTCCAGGGGCTGCCGCGCCGCTGCAGGCGCCGCGGAAGCGGGGGCCACTGCCCGGCTTGCCCGGGCGAAAGCAGGAGCGCCCCAGCATCGCCACCTCGGCCTGTTTGCGGGGGTGTATTGCCCTGGTACCCCGCCCGGGGGTTCACGAAGGTGTGCGTGGCTCCAGGCTTGCAGCAGGGGCTGCCGCCCCCCCCCCTCAGTTTTCAACAAGGAACAGTTTACCAGTTTAGTTTTAAAAGGCCTGCAAACCAGAAGAACGGTTTCCTCCCTACATTTTTACCACTCCCCTTTTAGCCTGCCTTCAGGTTTGTTGGGCTCTGGAATTCACTTACTGTTTTCGCCCTCACAACAACCCTGTGAGGTAGGTTAGAAACATAGAAACAGAGCAAGTCAGAGGCCTCCCAGGCCATCTAGTCTGACCCCCAGTTCCAGCCAGCTCTGCTCACGACATGCCTACCATGCGCATGTCCAGCCTGTCCTTGAACACCTGCACCGATGGGGCCTCAAGCACCTCCCGTGGAAGCCCATTCCACACCCTCCAGGTCCTGACTGTCAGGAAGTCCTTCTTAGCACCCAAACTGAACCTTGGTTACACTGCAGGCTCTCCACCAGCTCCAAAGCGGTCAGTGAACCTCATGACAGAGAGGGCACTTAAATGATGTCTCCCTCCCACCAGTTCCCATCTGACACTCAAACTTAGCCCTCCCCAAACTGGTGCCATTGGAGTCCAACTCCCATCCATCACAGCCCAACCGACTGTGAATAATGGGAGCTGCAATTCCAGAGAGCACCAGATTGGGGAAGCATGCTTTAACTACGGCACCTTCACATTGGCTGGCTCAGACTGCAGTGTCTTCTAAGCCACTGTGCTGTTTCCAGCAGAGGACAGCCAGTCTTTCTGGGAAGCCCCCAAGCAGGATAAAAGGAAGGCAACAGGTGACCCCACCTGCTGACTGGCAGCTGTAAAAACCAGCGGGCTGCAGTCCTGGGGGTGCTTTAATGGGAACCCACTCCATCCATGGTAGAGCAACCTGCTTCTGAATAAACTCACCTGGGCTTGGCTGTGTGTAAAGGCCGAAATCCTCAATCCAGGCTGTGTTCAGGTTGCTGTTTCTGCAGGGAGTTGAAAGATGCCTTCACTCGGATCACCTCCACAAAGCAGCTTCACTTCCTTGCTTCCTGTTCTCATATCCTCTTCCTCTGATCCCAGAAAGAAGACATGAGGTGGGAGAAGCCCCTCACACTTCACTCACAGCTGTTTAAGTTGCAGGTCACTTTTGCCCAGCTCATACAGGGGAAGCAGTGATGGAGACCTCCAGCAACTGGGAGTGGGGCCCCTACTGGGCCAAAGGCCTTGACTGGTGCCCAGTTCTGCCAGCTCCTGGCACCAGTCTTGCTCCTCCTGACACTTCCCTGGGAATAAATCCATGACTCTCTGTGGGACTTCACTTCCAAATCAAAGTGCATGCTCTAACAGTTGTGCTAAGTAATCCCCCCGCCACTTAGTTCTTCTAGTTTAGCCAAAGTTGATTTCTGCTTTCAAGACTTCTGACACTGTAAATTAATCCAAATAAGCCTCACAGTGTGATCCTGTACATGCTTACTCAGAAGTAAGTCCCACTGAGCTTAGAAGCCTTAGAACTGACCTGAATAACTGAAAAGGAAAGGGAAGAATCTTAGCCATCTCTCCAAATTCCATTACTTATTCCAATTATATAGTATTTGTTGTGCCAATTAAAGTGCAAAACCCATTATATCTGTTTGATCCAACACTCTGAAATACATTAAGCCTGAAGAAATAGGATTGCCATAAATTACAGAGGACAAAAGGACAACTATCCAGACTTAATCCTTAGAATTTATCCCTTTAAAAGTGGGGTTCAGAACAAAATGATTTTAATACAGCTGATCACTTTTTTTTATCTGCCAAGAATATGCCTTGAAGTAATTTTAGTAATGTCCCTTGCAAACACATCTTGACTTAAAGAAACCTGCACAACTTGAAAAAACAGGCAACATTTTGTAGCATTTTAGCCTAATGACAATAAATGCATATTTTATGAACCTTTATTGTTTGCAATGTGTTGCTTTTGTCTGGAAACTATTCCGCAAGAGTTTGATATGGGGAAGGAATGGTTCAAAATTCAATCAATCAGTTGCAAATTTCAAGGCTTCAGATCTGGAAGGCAGAGCAGTTAATATTAATGTAAGTCGCTCAAAGGCTGTCACAAAGAGGACGGTCAAGATCTCTTCTTGCTGATACCAGAGTGTAGGACATGGAATAAGAAGTTGAAGCTGTGACAACCCAGATTTAGGCTAGATATCAGTAACAGTTTCCTCTCTGTCAGAGCAATACAACAGTGGAACCAGCTGCTTGGAGAGGTGGTGGGTTCTCCCACACTGGAGACATCCAAAAATAAAACTGAACCGCCATCTGGGTGGGATGGTGTAACTTGGTGTCCTGCAACAGCAGGGGGTCAAACCTGATGGGCTTCCCATGGACTCTACTCTTCTATCATTCTATGAATATTTATTCATATTTATATGCATATGGTAATTTGTATATGATCTAAACTCTGAATAGGTGTCTTGAAAGGACTCTGTCTCCTAAGACCCTATTTGTAAAAAGAGATGGACAGAGGAAAGGAGGGCACTTGGTTTCTGGAAAGGACAGAAAGGAGATCGGGAAAAGGTGAAGAGCATGTGGGCAAAAGACCCAATAATTCAGTGGATCTGATGCAACAGAAACCACCAGGTTTTATTTCAGCAAGTGCTCAAGGGCAGGAAGGTGGAGCAGATGGCCCCCCAAGGATGGCCCCCCAAGGGCTGTCTCCTAGAACTGCCCCTCCTCCGGTCTAAATGATAAATCCTAATTGTGTAACTTCCTGTACGAGCATCAGTAGCAAATTAGAGTGCTTCTGAATGAGGCTTTTAGGATCTTACCTTGCTTTATGTTACAGGGGGTTCCAAACAGGGTGGTCTTCTACATGTTACCCCCCACCTGTGTTTGTGCACCCCCCTTTCATCTTTTTGCGGTGCAGAAGATCCAGTACGGAGAACAAGGGGACTGCTGTGCTGCGCCAGGAGCCCTCTTGCTCCCCCCCACACAGTGCTGATTTACAGTGGAAGTGGTGGCCAGGGGGCTCTCACAGGCAGCCATCCAGAGTAAGCCGACCCTTTGCTAAGACGCCCCCACCGGCTCTTGATTCAAACATGACTTGGGCCCAGCTTCAGTGTCTGGCACTCTTGGGCCAAGATGCCCGTGGGGTCCGTCGGCATGGGCCTTCCCTTGCCTTCGATGCATCGCACATCCCCAGAGACAACGAATGGGGAATGGCTGGAACAACCGCTAGTGCAATTTCCTGACAAGAAAGCACTCAACAACAGCATTAACATTAGGGTTTTCCTTGCCAACTTTCAAGTTAAAACACACAAATCAGTTCTGATAAAAAAGCTGGTTCCCCGTATCCGGGACTGCTCTGACCTCGGAGTAGCATCCCTATCAAGGCAGGCTCTTTGTAGCAAGGGAAATGTATTAGGTATTTTATAGGAGTCAATATTTACTGATAGGGGAATGTGTTGGTAATAGTCCGCTGCCACTCCAGAAGGCCTTACCAGGCTCTGTGCACCAGTGCATAAAACCCAGAATGGACCGTTACCAAAGAACCAGGATGCAGTTGAAAATTCTAAGTCGTGCAAAAATGGGATTATGACCCTGATGAAAAGAATAAGCAAGCTGAGCTCCTCTAGAAACTGCAACCCTGATTAAGAACATGCATTTCTCTTCCCAAGACACTTTCCGTAGACTGCACTGATGTTCAACAATATTCAACATGACATTATTAGCAGGCTGTCAATCTGTTTTCCCCACTCCTTTTTTTAATGACCTTCATCTCAAAGTTTTCTTCAGTTCAGGCTTGAATATAACATATTAGTGCAATTAGCACAGATTCCTAATTTTGCAGATTTCCCGCTACTTAGTATGGTCTTCCAAAAGTCATGGAGTGGGACTCCTAAGTGACAAAGTACGAACAAAGAAAATGCCCTGGTGTGCTGTAGTATGAAAACCACACCTCACTTTGCAGTATAACATTTCCTTTAAGAACACCCCACTGTGTAGCCAGGGGGATGCGGAGTGGAGATTCACTGTGGATGTGGAGATGCTAACCTCAGAGATTCCCAGTTCCGTCTGCTTTAGCTATCCAGGTGCACATGGGCACCTTTTGTCCCCATGTAACTTGCCCCAACATAATGTATTGCCCCTTCAAGAAAAATATCCTGGATATACTCCTAAATAATGAACACCCCGCTTAAGAAAATAAAACAAGACATCTCAAGACTTTGTGCTTTTATCTTTTTACTGACTGAGCGGACATGAGAACCCACACCCAACACTGAATCATGGGCTGAGTGTGGGTTATTGCTGAAACGTGGATTATTGTGTTCTCTGAGCTCAGCCAAGATAACCATGGCTTGTTAACCACAACCTATGAAGAGAAGCCATGGTTTGTCACTGGGTTGTGAATTGTAGGTTGTTTTGCAATGCTTTGTTCTCTCAGCTGGGGTCAGACAGCATAACCCACTTTTCAACCAGGACTCATTCCATACTCAACCCTTGAGCATGGATTATGTCTGAACCCAACCATTGTTTATAATGCCCAGAGAACTTCAGGTCCAGATCTAACCCTCCAGATTTAAGATTGACTTAACTGAACCCTAACTCAGGGTCTAACCCTCATCTAACCCTAACCACCCACCCAACATTTGGTGGTGTGGTGAGGTTTCCCCACTCCCATTCATGCACAGGTAGCAAGGAGTCCTACAATACTTCAAGAATAGCCAATTTCTGCATTTCTGGCACATGGGACATGAAGGCCAGGATCTGAACTGACTGGATCAAGAATTAGTCACAGGGTGCATCTTTAGACAGAAAACAGTCCAACAACTGCCAGCATTTCCCTGCTAATTGGGTGGACCTTTTTCCTGTCTAAACTTGCATAGGATTGCCCCCTAAAAGGTTGAACTGCCTTTCCTAAGGTTCAGTTACTGACAGCCATAGCTTTAAGCAAACATATACTGATATTTTTGGTGCTGTCCTTTGGGCCTTTGGACCCGCCAAGCACTGGAATGCCACTTCAGAAAGCCTTTCCGAAATGTGTTTTTTAAGAGTAAGTCACACAGTGTGAAGCAGTGGGATCACAAATGCTTCAGAGAACCAATCCGTATGGGCCTGAAAGTGTTTGTTTGACAGAGACTGGGGGAGGAACTGCTTTTTCTGAATGCTGGCCTAGCAAAATGAGTGTATGTCTGCAGCAGAAGAGAGACCTTTTGTTCTGTGCTGAGGCCTAATTCCTTCTGCATCTCGAGGTCTGTCAATAAACATCACTAAAACCCTAAAGTGACTCAAACTGAGAATGCAGCCAAGCCGCAGGTGTGTGGCCCACAAGACTTTCAGGCTAATCTCTGTGTACCCTCCGCTACTGGAAAAACAAGTGTCTCATCTTGTTTTGGACATGGGCAGGGGGCAGCGGGACCCTTGATGGTCACAAACTGCTAAGGAAAAAAGAACTACAAAACTGCAAAGGAGAACTCCTATTTTAAAAGCAAAGAAGCATTTTGCACGCTTCGCGCATCAGAGCTGTTGTTAGCCCTGCTTTTGTGTCCCTTAACAGCAGTCTGATATGTAACACAGGAATCTCTTTCCTACTGGGAGATAAAAATGAGAGAGAATGCTTCAAATATTTAGTTCCCACATACCAGATTGCAGCTAAAGGCGCAGGAAAAGATGCAGTTTAAAAAACGTTGGCAATTATAGCCAATAAAGATGACCTAGATGGGTATTTTTCCCACCAAGACAAGCCCTTGCTCTTTTACTGATCCATTCACTGCTTTTGTTGTTGCTCTGACACACACAATTATTAGAGAACATATGAGAAATCTATGTATGAATAGCTACATCAGTCTATCTATCCTTCATTTCTAACCTTAATATTGTCGTATCTCATGGTTCGAGTCTGGAGCAGCTTTTTACCCTTCTTCTGTAACAGCTCTTCAGACCATGCAAAGTGCATGGCTGGAGACCCTTGGAAGCCAAGAGCAACAATTTAGTCTTAAAGTTGCAGAGAACCTCAGAAGCTTGGCACGGCCTTCCCAGAGTGCTCATGACTTCCAGGATCCGAGGGCAGAAGCAGGATCATGGTCCCTGATGTCAGGGGGGTCTCCGTCATTCTCAAGACCTCCCTACAACCCCACCTCCAGTTTTGTAGGCACCTTCATGATAGTACCCAATACAGAAAAGCCAACATGGCGTACTTCTCAATATGATCCAGCACACCAAGGAATCGAACCAACAACAGAACTGCCCAGGATGCTCGAGTTCCAGAAACTAGGGATTATCCACCTCCCTTGCTTAACATCCCACAAATCGGCCACCCCCTTGTTCCCCAGCAGGGTCTCCTGTGCTCCGCAGTCGTCTTCAGCCTTATCTTCAGAGGCAGAAAGCTACGTGCCAGACGGCAGACTACAGCTTTAATCCAATGAGATTTTATTGGCAGGAGAAGGTGTACATAGGCAGTAACACAAACGGCCCTCTTTTCCCACCAAACCCCCTCCTTGCAGGAGCTGCCTGGCCCCAGTGGTGTCGCATAGCTTAGAAGTCCGGGGAATCCTTGGTCTGTCTCTGGTGCATTAGCCCAGTCGTTCTCAAACTCAGCGGAAACCTGGATTCAGCGAGGTCAGTACGGGCAAAGCAGCTTTCCAAAAAGATGCCGCGTCTGCTCCGAACAGTTTCGCCCTGCAAGCGTGCAGGCGTTCGTGGAACATGCTGGTGTGCAGGGGCTTCTCTCTGCGTGGGGAGCTTGAGTAAGCACTGTGTGTCAAATGAGAGTCCTGGAAAATGTGGCAGAGCCCTTCTGGACACTCTGTGGAGGATGCATGGGGATGTGGCAACGAGAAAGCGTTCCCTGAAGGTGGAAAGTCTGAAAACCACGGAGACAGGATGCCGAGTCTGAACCTGCAAAAGGCGGCTATGCAGTCAAAGACAAAGGGTGGCCCTTGTCTACACAGCAGAGATCTGCTCCAAAGGGGCTGGTCTCAACCTGTGCATTTCCTCTGCGGAAGCAGTGACCGAGTCAAGACGCAGCGATCTGGCCACCATGTGGAGGCCAGCACTATTAGGACGATGCAAAGGCTGTGGGAGGCAGAAATGCCTCTTTTCCTGGCCCAGTACAGACTCCCGTTCCCTTGTTTCCTGCATGCCCCCACCTCACCAGCTGCAAACACCTGGCCGTCGGAGAACAGTCACTGCTGCATTCATAAGCAGACAGTTTTATCTTTACAAAATCTCCCTTTGGTCTTGACCCTTGGCTTTGGGGTGAAAGGAGACTGCTGGAATGCAAAGATCAAGGAGCTGAAGGTCTGGAAGAAGGCAACACACAGACAGGCTAAGATTTCCAATGACAGGATGGAAGTCCTCCAGGGCCTGCGTTGGTTCCTGGCCACAAGAATAGTGGCATCTTCAGGGAGGAGCTGCGGAGAGTTAAGTCACACAAAAACACCAACGCTTCTCACACGGGCCTGTTGGCTTAGGAATAAGTGACCATAAAAATTACTGTTGACCGACTTCTTACCATGCCGACAATCAAGGGCAGGATGAAATCCTTTGCAGCAGATGGTCTACTTTAGTCAGGAAGGTGCTCCTCAACCAAACAGAGGGGCTTTAGGGCAGGGCAGGGATACAGAACCTCAGGCCCGGGGCAAAATCTGTCCCACGAGGATTCCCCAGATCGGCCACAACCTGCCCCGTGGGCCAAGAGAGGTTCTACCCCCATGCTTTATGGGAAGACATGCCCCCTGCTTTGCCTCAGCAGCCAACTGCCCTAAACGTTCAGCTGATCTCCGCTTGTTTGCATTTCAGAAAAACAAACAAACCAGAGAATCCTTGCGCTGAGTCCATAACAAGAGTGGAATGAGTGGAAGTTATTTAAAGTTCTAAATGAACCATTGAGATGGTGGGACAGATTTGGACCAAGTTCAGCCTCAGAGAGGTTGGGTAAGAACAGGAACTCGCATACTGGACTTCAGTGTGTACAGTTAACGGCACAGCCTCCCATGAGCAGGAGCCAGCAATTCCCACGGGGCACGGAGAGGGCTGCACGAGCCCAGGTCACCTGGCCAGCTCCTCCATCACGCCACGACGTTGTTTATATACCAAGTCTCCGGCCTCTGATGCAAGGTTTGGTTCATTCTGGAGGGGAGGTGTGATGCAGGACAGATGTCAAGTCACAAGCCCATCTTCACCTTCCACTGCTGCTCCAGAGAAGGAACTGGCTTTTTAAAGGGATAAAACTCCAGATTTGCTTGTCAAGTGGAATCTTAGCTGGGTCAGGAAGTATCTGTACGGACTACTCAAGCCAAGCCTCTTGGATGCCATGGAAAAGCCAGGAGAAAATGTTTAAGGCTGCAGCCACCCCAAACAAGGAAGCCAAAACACAAAACTGGAAGATAGCAGCCAAGGAACAGAGGATGCTGGCGACAAGCGACAAGACCTCGCCAAGCTCTGCGTGGGCTCAAGGCCACCTTTTTCACATCACCTCCTCTTTCTACTCCTCTACAGATTGGTGGGGGGCATCTCTCCTAGGGAGCTGGATATGAGAGCAGATTCTGCTCCAGTTTCCACTTGGCGCGCAAGGGGCTGGTGGGGGGCAGTCACACGGGGGCAACGTAATTCCCGGGGAAAGTGCCAAACTTCTGTGTTCGTCTGGAGACGCCTGGAATAGAAAGAGAAGCAAAAGAGGTGCCCGATGAGGGAGGGGGTCTTGCGGCAGACACCCTCTCCTGGAAGTTCCTGGTGAACCTCCTGCAACAGAAAGGAAACCAGCAGTTCCCCCATGAGCTCCCTGCTGTGGCACCAGAATCCTTTCCACACTGCAGCGACTCAGAGGGTTGGTGGGCCGGACCTCTTTCCAACACAAGCCACGCTGAACTACTCTGCGTGGCAGCAACTGTCCGTACCCACTTCTGACCCCGGGACACCCACTTCAGTGCCCATGATTGCCACGTATGGGCATTGGGCTGGTGACTAAAGCGAGGCAAGTACAGTTTTGTGCATGAAATGCAGATCACAGCAGTCCCACTGACTGAGATCACAGTCCTGCCTCCCAGCCAGCTCACTTCAATTTGGCACCTGAAGCCCAGGTGGGCCTCCTATCCTGGGACACGGCGGGGGGGGGGGGGTTCCTTCGTTCGATGGGTGGAGAGAAGCGGCACGCGTCCCCATCCCACTTCCCACACCTAGGCCTGCGCTCCACCCCACCAGCTCTGGCGTAACGGGGCTCCCGCCGCTCTCCGCGAGCGTGGACGCACCCACGAACCAGCCGTCGTCACACTGCTGCATCACATCCACCCGGTCTCCTTCGTGAAGCTCCAGCTCGTCCTCGTTCTGCGGTCTGTACTGGTAAAGAGCCTGGTACCTGCAGCACAGGAATCACGGATAAGTGGGCTGCCATCCTGGGAACTCAGGCAGCTGCCTCGGCAGCCCAAGCCAGCAGCGACCCTGCAGGGCATCCAGCGGTGGTTTTTTTTAGCCCTTCCGGGAAACGCCAGGGACTGAAACCGGGGCCTTCTGCACGCAATGCAACTGCGCTGCCACAGAGCTGGAGAGCCTTCCCTTGTTCATTCAATGCCAGATTGCTTGCTGGCTTGCTAAATTTTAACGCATTACAAGTCAAATCACATTTACGGACATCCAAGTTAAGAACAACCTGTACTTACAAGCGAGCTGTCATGAAGCCTATTAATTTTTAAAAATTAGTGCAAAAAATTGAGAGGGAGAGGAACTGAACGGGTTGAGGGAGTCCTCCGAAGTGTGGCTTCCTGCCCTGCCCATCCGGAGAGGGAAATCCCTCCGGCATTTCCTTACTGGCAGAGATATTCACTTTTTCACTTTCACGGGGGTCGTGTGCCCTTCACCACTGCAACTCTGGAGGGCCGACTGCATGTGATCCAACTTACGTACAAATGTGACTTAAAGACACATTTCCATTATTTTCTCAGCAGCAGAACTCATTTGTAACCCAGGGATTGCCTGTATTATATTTAGGGCACAGTCCCATGTGGATGCCTGAGAGTCTGAAAAATTATAGGCATGCTATGCAGGGTGGAAAAAGTGGCAGAGGTGACCAACAGAGTGTTTGCTTTTGGCTCTTTTCTGATCTTGGACCTGGGAATCTGAAAAATCCTAGCGCCCCCTTAAAGTGTCTGAGAATCCACAGGATTACTCCGCCCATTCCTAATGGTCTTCACAGTATTGGGCAAATCACAATACTGGGGAAAAATTACAGTTATTTCCAACAAAATAAAAATGAAAGCCTGATTACCATTCCGGTCTATTTTATAAAAATATCTGAGAAATAAAACCCACTTTCTCAGAAATCCCTCTATATTTGTCTCCTTTGATTTCTCAAAAAATGTCACCTTCGAAATTACAAAATTGCTACATCTTTAAATACCATTCTGATATAGGAGCAATACCCCTACAATGCCCAGCTAAGGAATGGCAATATCTTAGCTGCTGTCAATTAATTAATTACTCTTGCCAAGTCCTCATCCTAGAAATTTATGGCTGTTTTATATATTCCTCTGCTGTTTGTTATTTTGTACTTTATTTTACATATTTAAAAAATTATTTAATTTTTAGCTGTTTAGGGTTTTAATAGTTTTAAGGTGCAGTACTGGACTAGAAAATACAAAGTAATATTAGGAAAAACCCAATGGAGGCAAAAAACCAGAGAGAGTGAGTGTGGCATAATAGCTAGAGTGTTGGAATGGAATTCAGCTATAAAGGACTCTCAGCCTGACCTACATCTCAGGGTTGTTGTGAGGATAACATGGGAAAGAGGAAAGCCGCCTTGGATTTCTTGCAGGAAAAAGGCAGAATATAATTATAATACATGTAATAAATAAATAAAATTATTAGGGTAGTATATTCTTCAGACAACATGGCATAACCACTGTAGGGTCTACTGGTAAAAACCAGCTGTCATCTCTTGCAATTACGGAGCTGCACCATTTGTAAGTCAGTTTTTCTTTGCTAAAGATTATGTTTCAAATAGCAACCACTCCAAATAAAATAATTAAAAAGCAAAGCAGAACAAGTGCTTGTTCCAGGCTTCCATTTTGCAAGTGGTGCTGATGGGAGGGACGCAGCTAAGCTTTGCACATGGAAAAGGAATGTGCCAAGACAGAAACTCTGTCAGCTTTCCTCCTCTTCCCCCACCCAAATCTTGGGGTGGAGGGGGGAAGCATTTAGCTTGGAAATGATGGGTTGTCTGCCTTTCGAAGAGGAGTTCAGAGAGGCTGGCAAGGGCCAGCTACGGCCCAGGTGGAACAGCCAGCAGCTTCCGCTTCCATAGGCTCTTCTCAAAAGGCCCTTGTTCCACGCAACAATCCAGACACTGTCCCAGCCTGGCACCCCAGGGGGCTGTCTGAGGCCAGCCCTCCCCCATGGCTCAATACGCAGCGACGGATGGCCTGGCCAGCTGCCAGCCAGAGCAGAACTTTCCCTTCTGTGCTTCCAGCGTGGCTAATTCTCACTTACGGGGTCCACTGGATGCTGGACTGGGGCACTTCGGAGGCATGCCCAGGGCTGTGCAACTGGGAAGCCTGAGCAGCCGCTGTCTCACGGGTTGAGCTCTGCAGGCAAAGGGGAGGAAGAGCAGAAGACGCGGTGAGAAAGCAGACCCGTCCCTGAGCCAGGAAGGCAGGCAGGGATGTGGGAAAGGGAGATGCTTCTAAATACAGGGGACCCGACAGGTGCAGGTGCAGAATCCGACAAGGCACCCTGCGCGAGGGTGCTCCATTCCAAGCCTCTGAAGCAGCACAAGCTACTAACTGAAGCACAATTTAAGTAAAACATGGGCACTCTGGTCCTTCCAAGGGAAGGATGCTATTTGGCAGTCTCCTTGCTCATTGCAGGACTCCAAGAAAGCCAGCTCAGAGATGTCACGCATCATTGCGTCTACTACAAAGTGCTACAGAGGTACCAAGGGCAAAGGACAGCACATGCACGCAGTCCAGCCTGACTTCCTCTGCATGGATTTACTCCTCGTTATCATGAATTGCAGCTAAGCCTGCCTCTCTTACGATGTGTATCCATCCGCCTGGCACTGACTGCTGGCGTGTAAGTTTCTGAAGGGCTGCGGGTGGAGTCGATGCTGGAGCTTCGCAGAACATGGCAATACAATCTTCCCAGAAGCAAGGGAAAGGGACAGCCACCAAGGCGCTCTCGGGGCAGACACAACCTCCCCACACACCAGCTGCCCAGACGCAAACCCAAATTCGCCGCAGTCCCCAAGCCAGAAACCTGTCAGGCTGCTCAGACCTTAGCCCTCGCCTCCTAGTATTCCCTTTAGATCTCCTGGTGCAGAGGCAGACCCATTTTCTTTGTCAAGAAGGGGCTCGGGGTGAGGGGAGCAGAACCCACCGCGGCATTTCTGCTCCTCTCCCCACTGCTTCTTTCCCTGCGCACTCTTCTCCCAGCCAAACTCGCTTCCAGTGCTGGGAAGGGAAGCAGCTGCCAAGGACAAACGGGAAAGAGATACCTGAGGAGAAAAGAGCCAAGAGCCGCTCACCTGCACGGGGACGGCAGCTCGTGGTTGCGAAGACACGGCAGGGGCAGGCCGAGCTTGCTCGTGCATCGGGAACGAGGAAGTGGGCTGCAGGCCGCCGCCGCCGCCTGTTTGGACTGGGCTCTGGCGCTGGGGACTGAATGAGCCAGCCCGCGGTGTGCTCTGGGGTCTCCGGAGCCCAGCCTCCGTGTGTTCCAACTTCGGGGATACTGGGAAAGTGAATCCGGAGTGGCTGGAGGAGGATGAAACCACGTCCGCAGTCAGGGAGCTCTGTGGGCTGGAAGGCGAGGTACTTGACTGCCACCTGGTGGCCACACTGGGTGAGTGCGGCTGGGAGGGCGAGCTGGACCGGGCTCGGAGGCCCGGGGAGGAAGGGAACTCCTCTGAATTCTTCACTCTCGGCTCCTTCACCACCTGCACGTAGTTGGCTGGGAAGATGCCCTGGCGGTTGGTGCCAGAGATGCGGCCTTCATACCAGTTGTCATCCACTCTGCGGACCAGACAAATGCGCTCACCCTGGCGAGAAGGGGAGAGCGACGCTCAGCACATCCTCAGGCTGAAATGCAGACCCAGCAAGAGGCTTCCCGCTCTTTTCGAACAGGACAGTTCCAAGTTGGAGCCCCTTCAAGCTTATTCCAGCCTGGCCACTTGTTCTTCTGCCCCACTTGTCTATCTGGTCCAGCCCCTTGCCAAGAGAGTGACTGTTCCCCCAGCTAGTCCTTCTCTGACCTCCAAACGTAGCAGAGCCGTCTCTGAAACATGAGGCCAGAGCGCACTGGATGCATTTGTTCTGTGCCTGTCCTGCTTGTCTTCCAAAAAGCTCCAGGTAGCATACACGGCTCTACCCACCTCTATCTTATGTGCGCAACAAGGCTGCAAGCAAAATCGGCTGCGAGTCTTTCCTTCGGGGATGCATTAGCTTTCGAATCCTGGTTGCCAACGCTGTAATTCAACACTCTGTCTCACTACACTGGCCTTTAATCCCCAAATGCATTGCTTAACCCATGCTCCGCTGAGTACCTTGCTGGGCTCAGCCGACACAGTCACACTGCAAGGGTGATTAGGCGAATTGTGTGTGGCACATGTCCAGTATATATGGTGGCGAGGGAAAGAAATCACTATTTCCAATGACCATCTGAGTCCAGGCAATTGTCCTTCCATAAATGGATACATGCATGTTCCCCTTGTCCCGTCTCTCTTCTCCTGCTATTACTATGTTACGGTGTACTACTAAATTAAGTGCCAACTCCTATGTAAAGCTTGGGACACAGCATGTAAATTTAGCAAGCTTTATCTCAGGGAAGTAAACCATATGGAACGTTATTTGTCTAATTTACCCTCGGTTTAGAACTTTGCTGCAGAACCTTCCAGGAGACACAGCAAGAGCAAAGTAGAAGGTGATCAGCTCAGGCAGCAAACATGAGGGGCCATAAATCATTTGCTGCACTGCATTTGTTTCTTTATCATCACAGGAGGCACCATGTGGATATTCTGCCAGAGGCAGAAAGGGATCACTGGCTGTCTTGGAACTCGGTTCATGGGAAGCAGGGACAGACACCGTTCATCTGCTTGAGAGGGAGGAGCTGGACTGCAGTCCGTGAGACCGGGGGGGGGGGGGGGCGGGGGGAAGCAGACTGCGAAGCCCTCTGTCACTGGCCCCATCCAGAGCTGGAATGCACTTCTGAGCTAGTCTTCAGGCTCTTATTTGGTTTCAGTACCTTTCGAAATGAGAGCTCCACAGGCAGGTCCCCTTTGAAGTTGTACTGAGCCACAGCCTCGCCATACTCCAGGACCTGGATGGTGGGGGATTTGATGGGCTTCGGGATTTCTGTCGGAGGCAGGATCTATTTTGAAAAAGAAGCAGCAGCAGCTCTGTTATGCTGTGAGCCCGGGAGACAATGGTTAGGCTCAAGGCCACGCTCAGCGTGGGGGGAACCAACTCAGTGGCCATGTCCAGACAGGGAGAAGCCGCAGTTATCACAGAGGTGGGGGATGTGTGCCCCTCCGGAGGTTGTCGGATGGTAACTTGCATCACCTCTCATCCCTGGGCTAGGGATGACAGACCTGCAGCCCAAGAGCATCTGGAGGGGTGGGCACTCTTCTGTTATACTGAGTCTGGAAAATGCCGACCTGCTCCTTCCTCTTCCCTCCCCCGTCCTCCTTCTTGGCGGCAGCAAGGATGAGTTTGGAAACCTTCACTTGTGGTTTAACTGCAGCTTGTCATATCATTCAAACTAAAAAAATGTAGTTACCTTTATACAACGCTGTTGTTTTTCTGCCCAAAACAAGTCAGTTTCAAACAGTAGTTTACCAAGCTGGCTTGTTTCAACAAACCACTAAGATTAATCACCATTTAGGGTTCAAATGTAACATTAACTGTGGTCAACTGAAATCAGAAGGCAAAAGCTTCTGATTTTTAAATATTTTGTTGTGCCTTACAAAACCAAAACCAAACTGCACCAGTAGAGAAGGAAAAAAGTGAAAGAACAAAATAAAATATTATTTTTTGAATAAAATTGAAAAAGATCCATGACACTACTTTCAAGATTTCTCCGTGTCTGTCTGTCTGTCTGTCTCTCTCTCTCTCTCTCTCTCACACACACACACACACACACAACCAATGTGATCCAGTGGGGAAGACGATCCAGAAAACAAGATTCCAGGAATGACCAAGGAGAATTTTTCTACATAAGTGGAAAAGACAAAACTCTAGCGCAAATCAACCATTAGGCCCAATGATGAGGAAAGGCTGGAGAGGCCAAATACACCCTCTTTAATCCAAAGTTGCATCTTTTTCATGGATATTTGTAGTGGAATAGAACCCCATTAAAATTTACATTAAGTCTCTGAAAATACTTGCCTAGTATAAAGAAAGCAATACCCAAAACATTGCAAAACAATACCCAAAACATCTAGGCCATTAGAGGTATTACACTGATTTCAATTCTATTTACCCTACCCTATAAACTTAACTTCACTGATGCTTATCTGTCAATGTCCCTTCAGATCTCATTAATCAGCTTACTCCAATTTAACTCAATCATTTATGATACATGTCTTAGACAATCATTCCTAGATAAGTGATAAAATGAATACAAAGTCTAAATTACCAGTAAGAAAACAGTTGTTCAGTTTTGCCAATGAGACAGTGCACCGGAACAGCAAAGCAAGCTTACCTCCACATAGTTTGCAGGGAAAATGCCCATCCGACCATGGTGTTCTCCTTCCAGCCAGTTTTTGTCCACTTCTTTGTGGATGTAGACAATGTCGCCCTTCTGCAAGGTCAGTTCCCTGAAATTTCAAAGGGGAGTATGGAGAGTGGCTACCAAGAGAAGGGCCTTTTTGGTTGCGGCACCCCGGCAATGGAATGAGCTCCCCAAAGAGGTGTGCCTGGAGCCTACTCTATTCTTCTCAGCACCTGGTGAAAACGTTTTAATTTTCCCAGTATTTTAACAGTTACCTTTTTAACTTTAATTTTAATATTGCATTTTATCTTGTACCACTGCCACACCTCTGTGCTGATTCTGTTGCAATTGCTGCGGCTTTATTGTTTTATGATTTTTCTTCTATTATGTTTATGTGTTTTTAACTTTTGTTAATTGCCCAGAAAGCCTCGAATATTGGGAGCTATAAAAATGAAATAAATACGTAAATAAATGAGTACCATTATGAGAGAGGCCAAAGTTGTCAAAAAGCAAAGCATTTATCATGGCTACATCTCTCTCTCTCTCTCTTTCAGTGTAACAGGAGTTTCAAACTGTGTTCCAGGAAACGCTCTGCAGGGGAGCATTCAGCGTGTTCTAGGATACATTCCCCATTCAAGCAGAGAAGCAGTGATTTAAAAAGTCTAGCCAGTGCTGCACACATGCAGAGCCCACGCCCTGGAATACGCACAGCGCTTGCTGCAACTCCCTGGGGGGGGTGTTCCATGGCAGACTTGCAAAGACTCCCCAGCAGACAAATCAATGTGGAAAAGCTTTGTGGTCCAACATACCAGGTGGTTAACAAACGATTCAGCAACATACTTAATATCCTATCACATTTCACAGTTTGCAACTTAAAAAAAAAAACACTTAGGCAAGAATTGTGAACAAAATGTGAATAGATTGTAAAGATGATTCTCTAATTGAAGCAAGTTAAGTTAAAGTAATTACGAGGAGATTTTATGAAGGATATATTTTGGCTAAGGTTTTTATGTTAAAGGAGAATGAGGAAACCCTGTTACTTATGTTTCCTGTCTTTGTTTCAGGTATTTCGATTACTTGTATGTTGTTCCCAATGGCCTACTTTCAGGTATAATCACATGCAGTTCAAATGGGGGCGGGGGGGAACTCCACTCATGTGATGCTCACCAGGTGCCTGTGAACAAGGGACTAGGTTCTCATGCTTGGAGAAAGAAAATAAGCCAATGAGCTTTATTATCTTACCCTGCATATGCTATCTGGGTGCTGCAAAATGCCAGAATTATACCCTGTGGGTGCAGCTTGTTGTATCGCCCAAACTCCTGGAGCCATGCTTTGCTCTAAGAACACGGGTTGGTTTACAAACCTCCCCACCCCTCTCTTGCTGAGCTTGGACTACGTAACAGACTGGACCTGGTCATGGTAATCATGGTGACTCCTACACACGTAGCAGGAACGCAAGCTACAATGGATCATGCAAACCTGCCCATTATCACTCTGCCAAATCTTTCACTCAGGGCTGTCAGAAGGATAAATGGGTTGACGTCGGCAAAGCACCTGAGTACTTTCTAACATTCCCAGCTACCATTCAAGGCATTTCTAGCTAAAAGGAGATTCTGACACACCTTAAGGGAGCTGATACAAGGTACTGGGCAACTTGCCACCACCCAGACGTTTGCAGTGCACAACCCGTCCGACAATGCCTTCCGCTCCTCTCCCTTCCTCCTTCAAATGCTTCCTCAAACCCAGCTTTTCCATAAATCTTATTTATTTATTTTATTTATTTATTTTTTGGATTTATATCCTGCCTTTTTCCTACAAAGGGCACAAGGCAGCTTACATCATTCTCCTCCTCCATCTTATCCCCACAACAACAACCCTGTGAGGAGGTTGGGCTGAGAGTCTGTGACTGGCCCAAAGTCACCCAGTTGGCTCCATGGCTGAACGGGGACTCGAACCCAGATCCTCTGAGTCCTTATCCCAAACTAAAACAAGTTCTTTCTATCATTGAACAGAAACCCAAGTACATGTAACCACTCCTACAAATATTCATCTTTTCCCTCTTTGTTTCCTACCTCCTGCCTTTTAATACTTAAAACACAAATAGGCAATTTCTGGTCCATGTAGCCTCTAGTTCCTAGTGGGTGATCCCCCAATAATGCTTAAATACATTTCTGGAACAGACTGGTGTCTGGATCCCATAAAGGGTCACAATTACCTTGAAAATGAGCTAGTGTGACCCTTTGGACTCTGTAGTAGCTCCAGATACATGTGAGTGTCTATGCTGGGGTTGGAGCAATAAAGGCACCTGCACCACTAGAAGTTGCCCAACCCAATTTAAATGGAAAGCACCTTGGGACTGTGTCCTTTTCCCTTTTTGCCATGACGTCCTATAAGGCAACATATACCTTACCGGTGCTACATTAAACCAACACACCTACTCGTGGCAAGAAATCAAAGCATTTTCCAGTTGCTAAAAGGCTGCCAGGCACTGCTACTTACTTTGGCGACTCTGCCTGGAAGTCAAATTTGAGTCGAGCGGCTTTCATCTGGAAGGAGGAGGAGATGGGTTAAAAGCAAACACAGAGTTAAGTGTTTAAAGAGAACTCTGAATCTTCTATACGATTTGGTATAAATGTATTTATTTTATTAACAAATAATCTTCCTACGGCAAACCACCGGTATGTCATGAACAAATACAGAAAAATACACATAGATAATTACAACTGAACCTTTGATGAGCTTTTATGGATAAATTGTTATTAATATATCGAACCTCTTGTGATCCCTGTTAACTATAACTGAATTTTTAAGAAGTGTTTCCTCTTTGAAAAGTTGTAATGTTTATAGAAAACATTCACTAGTGATACTGAAATGTATAATTTCAAATTGAATAAAATAGTAATAAAAAGAACTCTGGACACCTTGCCAATACAGCCCAAAACAGATCAACAAAACAAAACAGGAATTGAAAATCCCTGGTCTGAATCACCAATGCCACATGTGAATCAGATGGACGAAACCCCAAGATATTTCTTAGATAAGAAATGAAACTGGGTTTGCATGCATAAGAACAAATCTTTGGGCAACTTTCTAGGCAAGTAATCCACATCTGTAACCTTTGTGCTATTCACCTACTTCTGTACAAGCAAACATTCCCAGCGAGGGAGAATTTGGGGTGTCCAAATTCCTGCAAAAACATTCTAGATTTCTTCTCTATTGCATCTCACCTCCAGAAATGAAGTAATATGATTGATGATGGTCTGCTTGGGTCTCTGTTCTGAGGGAAGGAAACCAGAAGTGCAAGCAGAACAGTGTCATCTCAGAATGGTATGCCAATTGAAACTGATATGGTTTCCCCGTAAAGAATCTTGGGAATTGTAGTCTGGAGAGGTTTCTTGGTTAAAGATCCTAAGAACCCCTCACAGAAGGAATGAATGGATATGCCCAATAACAATCATGCCTAAATATATGAAAACAAAGCCTATTATCTGTCTCATCTCACCTTCTTTTCATCTCTCTTTGGGGGACTATCTAGGACAATTTCTGTAGAATCCAGAAAGGGGCTTTGCCCAGCAAGCCTCAATGGATCTGTGCAAAGATAAAAATAAGAGAACAGCTAGACGAAGGCATTTGCCACAAGGAAAGCTCACACTTATTGGAAGGTTGCTGGAGGAATGAGTCATGATGAAAAGCACAACTTCAGTTGGACCAGCATGCGATCCTGGAAGCCAAATTTCAACACTAGGCCTCAGGAAGTGAGACGCTGACGTCAGGGAACCAGCCAAGCCAGCTGTGGGCTAGCTAGAGATGAGACTCTGCAATCACGTCTGAAGTGCTTTTCTTTCTTGCGTCTACATCTAGCCTGGGATTAGAGGACAAAGGTCATTTATTTATTATATTTATACCCCACTTTCTCCCTTGCTCACAAGGAACGCAAAGTAGCTTACATAGCCCTCTTCCTTTCTGTTCCCGCACAACAACGCTATGTGATAGGTTAGGCCGAGAGTGAGTGACAGGCCCAAAGGCACCCAGGGAAGTGGGGAAGAAGGGGGAAATTTGAAGCTGGATCTCCCAATTTCCAGTCAAACGCTCTAACCACTGGCTTCACATGGGCAGACTGAAACCCCGCAGCCCTCTTAATGTGAATTAGGAACCAGGCAGAAGACCAGCAAGCCCTCGCTAAGGCAAATTTCCAACATGAGCTGGGTACTTCAGCCCAATCGTTTGCTGACTTGGCTGCACTGTGTTAGCAAGTCAGACCCTGCTGGCTGGGTGCTGCCAGGAGCTGCAGTTCAACACATCTGGAGCACACCAGCTGGGAAAGCCTGCCCAAACTATCCCGCTTCGCAATGAAGATGTTAGAAATGCCCGTTTAGCTGTCCCCTCATGTAGCATCCCCGTCTCCCTACAGGACTAGCTTCCTAACCTTTCCAACTGCAAAGAGCTGATGAACTGAGAGAGCATTCAGGCATGCCTTTCCCACAGACATTCTGATGTGACCTACATCACCCTTCCCCAGCCTGGTGGCCTTCAGGGGCATTTGGACCACAGCTCCCAGAACTCCTATCCAGCAGGGCCATCGACTAAGAATCCTGGATGTTGCAGTCCAGCTGTGTCTGGGGGGCACAAGGTTGGGGAAGGCTGGCCTACATGTTTTTCTGAATGCTTGAATCAGCTCTCAGTTCCTCCATCTGTGGGAGGCATAGCTGAACAGCAATTATTCGGCGGATTGCACACGCACACATATGTAACATGAGTCCCCACAAGCCACGCTCACAGAGGGGCCGCAGCACGTACCAATTCTCCCGTCCGGTTGCATCATACCGGTCTGCACATGACACTTCCTGCTTTAGGAGTCCCAACACCCTCTCTTGGATGACACATCTTAGAGGCACTTTCTGCAATTCCACTTGTACACCAGATTGGCAAAGCAGGAGCGCAAGTACTCCAGGGTCTGCTCTCAGTCCTCTCAAGCCAAGAAGAGAGAGAGAGCAAAGCACCCCACAGTGCTGCACTTTGAAGTTCTGCCGCTTTCTGCACAAGGAGATCCACACTCAAAGCCATACCATTCCTGGGAGGAGAGCTACTCCAGTTGCTCCGGGCGATGCCTGGGCTTCCCTTCTCCATCCGAGGGCTGGCTGGGACGCGGCACCTGGCAACAGGAAGACCTTGTCCCGTGGAAGGATAGGCACAGGGGCTCAGCAATGGGCTGTGGGTAAGAGAACATGGAGGGAGAGTGAGGAGGAGCAAGGGGGAACTGGAAGGAGACCTAGAGAACAATCAGTGGGGTCGTACTGCATTTTGAAGTCAGGACCCCGTGGTCATTGTGATCTCCCAACCCAGTATCCACATTCTGATTCTCCCGTGTCGGAGGACATCCAGAGGCTGCAAGGAATCTGCTAATCAAACCAAGTGAATGTTCGGCGTTATCCTAGGGAGCAATCTCAGGAACCTGCAAAGCCATCTGAACTGAAATGCCTGCTTAACCTTGGCACCCCTTTGCAAAAAGGCCAAAAATATATTAAAATGCCTTGGAATGCATCCAGTTTCTCAGACATTAATAGATCACAACGCAAGAGATGGAATACAAGCAAACAAGGTCACTCTCTATTTCAAGTTCTAAAGTCTGTGTGAGCTCTGCATCCATTTTTAAGGGTGAGAAGGGAGAGGAAAAGCAACCTGCATGATAACGCAACACCATGGCCTCAACCATGGAAAAAACTGGAATGAAAGCTCACACACATAATCAGAACGCAACTGTAAATGTCCAGGTGGAGGGAGAATGCACTCTCTAATTGTTTTGTCTGACTTTTTGAATGGCTTGTAGGAGTTTTTGATTAAAAAGTGTCCAGAGAAAAGCAAAAAAAAAAAAAAAAAAGATCCAGGTTTGGAAATACTGCCCTATGAGGAGAGACTGAGAGAACTGGGCATGTTCAGCCTTGAAAAGAGAAGACCAAGGGGGGACATGATATCCCTCTAGAAGTACCTCAAAGGCTGTCACAAAAAGGAAGGTCAAGATCGCTTCTTGCTGAAGCCAGAGTGTAGGATACAGAATAATCAGTTCAAGCTGAGGCAACCCAGATTTAGGCTGGACAGCAGGAAAAGCTTCCTCACTGTCAGAGCAACACGGCAGTGGGGCCAGCTGCCTGGAGAGGTGGGGGGCTCTCCCACACTAGAGACAATCAAGGCAAAACTGGGCAGCCCTCTGAGCGGGATGGTGTACTGTGCTGTCCTACAAAAGCAGGGGGTTGAACCTTCATGGCCCCTTCCAACTCTACTACTCTAGGATTCTATGAAGGGCTGCATCTCAGGGCAGAACAGGTGGTTTGAGGGCTCAGGGTCAGTGCTGGCATCTTCAGGTAAGCTGCTATTTGTCCAATATAAAACACACACACAATTACCCTGCGGGCTAAATATTAACTGAAGGGGTGGTGGGAAGGCACAGAGAAGAGCAGAAAAAATGGCAAGGGAGAAAGGTTTGCCCCTGCTTTCCGCCACTGCTACCATGGTCTTGATCCACTTCTCCCCCTGTTTCTACTTCCCCATCTGACCAAGTTACCTCTCCAGCCTGGTGCCCTCAGATATTCTGGACAACAACTCCCAGCATTCCTGACCACCAGCTGGGGTTGATGGAAGCTCAAGTGCAGCGCATCTGGAGGGCCCCAGGCGAGGTGAAGAACGCTGCTTATGTGGTCTTCAAACACCTCACGGGCTCCACCAGTTTGCTGCCCATTCCACACCCAGGACCTGGCTAGGATCAGCTCCACCCTACCCACTGCCCAGGAAGTCCCAAACAAAAGGATAAGTGTGTCCTGTAGGAAAGGCACAGGGCCGGCGACCCACCTGCTCTCACATCTCCAAGTTATCCCGCCATGAGGGCCAACCTGCCTGGCTTACCTCCCACCCTTCGCAACAGGGGCCCATTCTACCTCCAAGGCCTCCCCACCAGCTCTTCCCGTCTCTTGATGGCAACAAAGCAGAGCAGAACTGAGAAGCAGTGTGGAGGAGACCAGAGGCCTGCCCCCCCACCAGGCTGTTCCCCCACCCCATTATCTCTCCCTTGTAGCATCTGCTCCCTTCCGGGTGTCGGGCTTGTCTGTAATTCCTTATCCCAGTCCAGGGCCTCCAGAGCTGTCTTGGCAAGCAAAGACCAAACTCAACAGGAAGCACCGAGGCGGCAACAAGAAACTGGCAAGCAACAGCGATTTTGCTGAAGTTTAACTACAGTGGTTTTTAATTTTTAAAGGGACAGCAAAGTGAGTTAAGGAAGGAAGGAGGAAGGAAGGAAGGGACACATGGGGAAAACTAAGAGACGTGAGATGAGAAATCTATTTATTTATCCTAAAGCAGCCACAGGGAAGAAGAAGGGGAAATTCACACCCAGACCATGGTGCTGGGGAAGGAAAGTCTAACCCTTTCCCTATGTTGTCATACCCAGGTCACACATTTTGGGATGGGGCAGGAGGCTGCTGCTACTCATTAGCATATATTCAAATGTCTAAAACTTTCAAACTGCCTGCTGACAAACCACCATAGTATAATGGTTAACAGAGAGGGCTATTAATCATTTGAACCAAGAACTTCTTGATTACCTCAGTCATGAATTCATGGCTAGACTGCCTTGCACAAGCCGCTTCCTCAGATTCAACTTCCACATTGTCCTATGGTGTTATTATTGCCCAACCTTACAAGGCTGGTGTAAGGATTACCAAGCTAACATACCTAAAGAGCTTTGAATACACCAAAGGTCTAACAAAATATTAAATGTAGTCTTAGTTGTTTTAAAAAAAGGACAAGAGTCAACACATTACTAATTGTCTACAAATTATGTTGCATAAGTAAAATCCTCAACTGCTTGCAGCAAAACATGCAAGGGCCCAAATAAATAAAGAAATGGTGAGACCCTCAAAATGTCGCCCCAGCATATGACAGCTGCTACAAGAAAAACGGTCTTTCATTCTGGGAGGTAGCGGCTGGAGAGGGAAACGTCGCGCCCATTTTCCCAGGAACGTTTTTAGGGTGATATACACACTTGGGAAAGGCTGAGCTATGTCCCACAGCACAGAGATTACTTTTACAGAGATCCCAACAGTTTTGATGGGATTGTGCTCAGGAAGATGCTGCTTGGGTTTTCCACCTCAGGCATCCGAAATGGCTGGGGCCACTCCTGGCAAGATTGCCGTGTCGGCTCGTATTAGACTCATTAGATGGTTTTGTAATGAGGCAAAAGGGTCATGAGCCTAGCCTGGCAGAGCCGGTTGTTTTGCCTCACACCGATCATAAAACCCCTGGCAGATGCATCAGGGCTGTGTACCTTGACTATTAACACAACCACCTGCCTGCAGAATTGGTGGAAATGCTTGGGAAAGACATCCTCTGTGTGCCTCCCCCGCCATCCTGGAAAATGCAGGTATGTAAACAGAGAATTCTTGCATGCTGACTCTTGGATGCTCCGTGAAAATCGAGGGCTGGATCTTGGAGACAAAGTCCAGGCCCCCACAGCTCCACCAACGACCACCCAAAAAGCAGCAGGTGCAGGAAGAAATTCCATTTTATGTTATGATTTACTGGTGCTGAAAATGCAGAATGGCAAACATGCAGAATTTGTGTTTTCTTTTTACTGCTGGTTGGCAAACAGAGGATCAGGCATGTAGAAGCAATTTTAAAGAGTGGAATGTAATTAAAGATGGGGGGAAAGAAAATGTAAGTTATATACATCACCATGGAAGTAATACCCATGGCCATGGGAAGGCCCGTCCCCATAATATAACCATCTAAAAGGGGACTCCCTAAGACCATTAAGACCTGGGTCTAAAATTACACAACTGCCTCATTGCTATTCTTCACGACTCAGTGAATGCCCCACTGTGCCGCCTCCTAGGCCCTTCCGGACACAATTTATGCCTATGGAGTTGCCCACAAGGTGTTATATGAGCATCAGCATTATTGCTATCGCCCACTGTAATGCCTGGTTAAGACTTCAGTATCGAAGGCTCCCGTGAAGATGTGAGATCCAGGCTAGAGCCTGGGGAGCTAGACGCTTGAACTACGCCCCAGGAGAGCTGGGCCCAAATCCCCACTTAGCCATGCAGCTCTTGTGGTATTCCTGAGGCAGTCACTACCACCCAGCCTGACCTACCTCACAGGGTCATTTTAAGGATAAAACGGAGGGAAGAAGGAACTTTTCCAAATTGCTCAGAACAGCGTCGGTGCAAATGGGAAGGACTGAAATGCAGTAACTGTAGAATGCTGCAGTGCTCAGCATACACCAACCTGATGCAGAGCAGCACAGTGATGGCAAGCGATCACATCCTCCCAGTCCCCCATTGCGACCCAAACACACGCCACATGTTTCTCATCTCTGCTTTCCTGCCACACACAGGTTATCCTGCACACATCTTTGTCCCAAGTGCCAGCCCTTGAGAGTTGGAATCAAAAGCCACGACAGAGCCAGCTGTGTAGGAAGCAGCAGCAGCAGCTGCGTTGCCAAAGCGCTTGGTGCTTCCCCTCCAGCCCCATCCACACTCCTAGAAAGTCCTGGCAGCAAACGCTTCCTCCTCCTCAAGGACCCCACGCTTCTCTTCCTTATTCTCTGTGGAGCAGGATGTGTGCCTGATTGATAAGAAGGGTAAGAACAGCCTTGCAGGATCGGACCAAAGAGATCCATCCAGCAGAACTTCATAAGTCCCATAAGGCAAAGGGCCATGCCCTGCTGTTTGCTCCCCTCATACCCACAAAACCCAGGTACACTGTTTCTAAGCAAGGAGGCTCCATTTGGTTACAAAGCCCCAGATGAGTTCAAACCTGTGCTCAAACCTGCCCCACAAACTTGTGCTCCTGTCACCTAACAACCTGAAACACACACACATACACACACACAATCCTAGTGAAAAACCAGCTTCTCAAACGGGGTAATTCCCGTCGAGCTGCTAAATGCAAAAAAGTTTGCACTTCAACCTTCTCCAACCGGGTGCCCACCAAGTGTTTCAGACTCCGCTCCCCATCAGCCCCATTCGGTCAGGAATGCTGGATATCGTCCTCCAAAACATCTGGAAGGCACCAGGTCGGAGGAAGCTGCTCCCCCCGTTTCTTCTCCCAACTTTCACATCCTGCCCCCGCCGCCACCGTGCTCCCTCTCTTCCCCTCCCACTCCGCCCCAACTTCTCCCCCCCCCCCAACACACACACCCACAGCCCCGGGCGGCGAGCGCCGGATCCACCCCAGATGCTTCGGGGATGACGCCACCCTCGCCGCGGCGAGCCGAGGTGTGGCAGCGCGAAGCGAGAAGCCGCTGGCCGGGCAGCGCCCCGTCCCGTCCCGTCCGCATACTCACCGGCGGGCAGCGGAGGCCGGAGAGGAGGCCGGGCTGGCGGCGGAGGCGGGCGCGGCCGGCGAGGAGCCCTGCGCGGGAGAGAAAGAGCCGAGCTGAGCCGAGGCGAGGCGAGGCGAGGCGCGGCGGCTGAGCGCGTCCCGCGCGGAGTGGGGCCAGCAGCGCAATCGCTGCCCAGCGGGGCGGGAGGCGGAGCGCGCGTCGCAGGCAGTGCGCTCCAAGGAGCGGGCGAGCGAGCGAGCGAGCGCCGGCGGGCGGGCGGGTAGGCGGGCGGAAGGGCAGGGCGCGGCTGGGTCCTAAAGGACCGCCGCTCCTGCACAGGGCTCCGGGCGGGGAGCTGCTTTTGGCATTTACCAAAACAAGTTTTAAAAAAGAAGAAAGTTATGCATAATCCATGATTGCAACACATAAAAGAGCATAACTGAAAAATAAAAAGCAAGCCGTTCCCAGACGTTTGATATTTTTAAGGCTGTCGTTTTAATATGAGAGCGAGGCTTATTGAAGACGAGGGGACTTGTGAATAAAAGGCGGAGGATTTGCATGGGAAAGCATGCATATTTCTTAGGTATGGGAGGGAGTTCCTATAGAAATATAAAGGTTCTGGAAGTCAGTGGTTTGTACCCACAGGTGTTACTCTGCTAGTGCAAACTTCTACCACTAGCAGAAATCCTTTTTCTCCTAGCACAAAGATTCAGTGCTTTGATACTATTTATGCATGCGAATTGTTTCATAAGCAAAAATTTGCCTATTGCACAAGAAGCTGAAAAAATGTAAATTCTGTATATTTATTAACTGAAATAACTTACAGACATGAATGACTGAAATCTTTTTAAATTGCTTTTTAATTTGTTTCTTATTAAAGGTAACCTATTTAGGATGCAACCCTATACATGCTTCAAGAGGAAGAAGTCCTACAGTTCTCAGTATGACTGGCTGCAGAATGCTAGGAGTAGGGTTTTTTCCTATCTAAACATGCATAGAATTGTGCCCTTAATTATTTTTGAATTAAATCTGAAATATTGTATTTTATGTATATATTAGATGTTGCTATTAGATGTATATCTCACCTTTTTCATTTTCTAAAGAACTCAGAATAACTTACATCCTGCTGCTTCTCTCTATCTTATCCCCACACCACCCTGTGAGGTAGGTTGGACTGAGAGTCTGGGACTTGCCCAAAGTCACCCGGTTGGCTCCACAGCTGAGCAGGGACTAGAAACCAAATCTCCTGAATCCCAAACCCAAACTCTTAACTCAAATTCAGACCAGTAAACAAGTTAAGGGGCATTTCCAGCCAAGACTGCCTTTGCAGACTCCAAAGAGGGAGTTTTGCCTTTGTCTGAATTTGGGGGAAGGGCACCAGATGGGCAAGGCACGAATGCTAAGGCAGCACGAAGACATCGCGGTGGTAGTTCTAAGCGATGGCCACAGAAGGGGCAGCGAGACGAGGGTTACCTTGTGGCCATGGTGGCGCATCTCAATGGCTTTAATGTCCTTGTCCAGTTCTTCACTGAGCTGCTGCAGCTCCTTGGCCAATTGCTCCTGAGAGGGGATAGAGAAACAGGCGGCTTGGTGGCCTCGTAGTGCTACAGTTAGCAAGCTGCACAGCTCTTAGGACTAGTCAAGACAGAGGCATGGTGGGGTGGTGATGCCGGGGGGGGGGGGGGGGGGGGAACTTAGGGGCTTGATGGCCTGCGTTGGGTGCAGAAACTGCAATGTGAAGTAGCTCCTTCAGGTGAAACTGCCCTGCGTTGCCAATTTATTTTATTTAAAGCATTTATATACCGTTTGATTAGCATAATATTCTCAAAACGGTTGACACAATATAATTAAAATACAGAAAACCCAACAATTTCAACAATTTAGAACAGACTTGCCTGCCGTAAAAAACATCTGTGAGCAATAAAATCAGATGCTAGGCACACAAAAGTCCTTCCTGCGGAGCTCAATGGGACAGCTTCCCAAGAGCAATCTGTGTAAACTGCCCGGAGTGCTATTGGGCAGTGCAGAAATGACACACAACACAGTATGCACACACAGGCATGCAGCCTGAAGGACACAACGCAGAGATGGACAGGCATGGAAACAGATAAGAGGGTCTTGGTTTGCTGCGGCCAGCAGTCCTGTGTCTCAATTCAGTCTTCAGGTAAAGGTGCACAGGACAAAATACTGCCTCAGAAAGAAATTAAAATGATTTCTACACATAGTTAACTAGCATGTCAGGCAAAGGGCTAGGCTAGAATCCTAACGTGCCAGCTTTCTATGTGCAAGGCATCATCATCTTATATGGAGGAGCATTCAGTCATAAGTATTAATCCTGCAAGGATAGATTGAAGGGCTGGGTTTATTTAGCCTTGCAAGGAAGGGAGTACTTTCTAAATACTTAAAAGGCGATTACACTGAAGAGAGCTGAACTTGTTCTCTGTCCTCAAGTTTGAAGGCCCTAAAATAGGGGACTTTTTCAGTTACAGCAAGGTAGATTTCAGGGGAACATCAGGAAAAGCTTCCTAGCTGTCGGAATAGATAGACAATGGAACCAACTGCCTGGGATGGTAGACTCCACGGGCAGAGGTATGTTGAAGCAGAGTCTTGGTAGCTGCCTGCCCGAGATGCTTTTAACTGGATTCCTGCACTGAACATGGTCTGAGACAGGATGGCCTACAGGGTTCCTTGCAACACTCTTTTACATGAGCTGAAGGAGTACAATCAAAACACACATCTGTTGCCTCATTAAAACCTAGGCCACACAAGAATTCTTTAAAGGGAGGGGCAGAAGCCTGCTGCATGAAGGATAATCACGGACAAAGTTCCTAAATTGCAGAGAGCCATACGTGATTTTTAACAGTGGAGATCACATCTATCTTGAGAGTTGTAGGTCACTGCAAAAGATCAGGCACATTTCTCAATTATACCAACCCAGCTTTGATACTCTTACATGTGTTTTCTTATTGGCACCCGGAGATCCTCTTTTTACTTTCCCAGGATTTTTACCTGTAAGGTTTTAATTTAAACTATATCTGGTTAGGTAGCTGCTCTTTCTGGCAACATTCTGTTGGTATTTCAGGAGGGAACATTGTGTTGAAGAACAACGTTTCTGTCTACAAACACATTTGTTTGAGGAGCCTAAAGGTGCTTTCGCTGTTGTGGAAGCTTCCTTCTGATGTTCTGCACACCAGCTCCATGAAAATTTATAAATGATAATACAGTTCTGTTGGTCTTTAAAGAAGTCATAAGATTTGGTGTTCTTGTCTCTGTATCAGATTAACATAGCTACTCTCCTGGAAGTCACTTCAGGGCAAGGGGAACACCCAATATGTCTCAGTCAGCTAACAGCCAGCAGGTTTGGGGCAAGCCATTGCAAAAGGGTCCCTAGGTGGCCATTTAGGGAGAATGCTAGGATAAAAAAGGGCAACTTTAAAATTACATTTGAACCACAGATGCCCTCCATTTTCACACAGAGCAGGGGTCTCAAACTCAACTGACCTGGAGGCCGCTGGAAGTAGAGGCTGAGTGAGGCTGGGCCGCATTAAGGATGCCACCACCGCGGTGGTGGTGGGCCGCTCATCCGGAGGCCGGCCCGGGCGCCGCTGGCACTTTGAAGGCCGCAGGGCCCCTCCCCGTGCCCGCCCGTCCCGGCATTTGAGACCCCTGACACAGAGGGAAACACCTCAGAGAAAGAAACAATTGTACCAAAATGGCAAAAGGAGGAAGTGACTCAACAGGAATGCAGAATGTGATACTGGACAAAGAATTTAGTAGCCTGAGAATTTTAACCTCCATTAAAAAGGGGAAAAAAAGAGTTCTAGCGCCAGCTGCAAATTTATGTTGCAAAGTGCCTAGACAATTACTGTTAAAATCTCAGCAACCAGAAAGTAATTGTGGGCAGCATCTACAGCAGCTTCTTTGTAGCTGACTGCCCTTCCCGTATGCAGAGGGCCAGGAAAAATGTTATGCAAAATCATTTTTAAATGCGGGGGGATATGCTATGTGGAACAGGAGGAACTGCGGATTATTTGCTTCATCTGAGTAATTCATTTCAGCCACCGAGATTAGCTTTGCTTGATGCAGAACCTGAACTGCCTGGCCATGGCTTGTTCAAGCTCTCTTTTCCTGTGAGATCCTGACTGCAGCCCCGAAGGAGCACCTGGCTTGGAGGGACCCGCGAGGGGACCATGGCCCTGTTCCCACTCTGAATGCTGACCTGCGGCCCTCTTCTCTATCCACAGCATGCAGTTCTTGGCAGTGTGCCTGCAGCACAGATGACGATCTTCAAGGCAAAGTAGGAGGGGAGAGGAAGTAACAGAGAACCCTGCTCCATGGAAGCCAGTAAACACAGCTGCACTCCAGCCGTCTTGGGGGAACCCTGCACAGAGGCTCTCAAGCACGGCCCCGTCCTCTCCTGCTCGCTGCGCTAATCTCCAAGCTTGCTTGGTTTGGTTTTTTCTGAGGAATTTTATAGCATATGCTTGGCTGGGTCCCAGTTGTTCCTCTGTGGCCCGGACCAAGCCCTAGGGAGGACTCACCTCAATCGGAGTGGCGGACGGCCGCTCTTGCGCCAGAGACACTGCGAGCGGTTTCTTCGGCTGCAAAGAGCAACGGAGAGCTAATGAAAGCATCAGTGAAAGGGCCACTGAACTAGAGATGGTTAACCAACCTGACACTGGACTCCTCAGTCAGACAGAACGGACAAGCTTGGGGTGGGGTTTCCCACTACAAAAAGCGATTCTCCATATGATGCAGCAGCTATTGTTCTAAGTTTGTGCTTCCTTGAGCTCAGCTTGTGCAGCACGTATCCGCCATGCCTCAAGTCCCCCCGAGTTCAGTGGGGCTGACTTGCTAGAAGGTGGAAAGGAACAGGGAGCCTCACAGCCCTGGACTCCACTTTGCTTCCGGTGGTTGACAATGCACGATTCAGGCCGGACACTGCGTGGACCTGTTGCTAGATCACATCAGTGAACACCCTGCAACCCAGTGACAAAAGCAGCTGCCGGGAAAAAGGCAAACTCCATGTTAGGCATAATCGGGAAAGGAACTGGAAATGTAACTGGCCAGTACTGTACCGCCATGATACAAATCTAGGGCACAACTGCACTGAGAATTTGGAATATGGTTCTGGTCACGGCACCTGAAAAGGATACTGTAGAGTTGGGAAAAGTGCAGAAAAGGGCAACTGCAATGATCAAGGGTTTGGAGCAAGTCCTCTGTGAGGAAAGGTTGCAACAGCTGAGTTAGTGTAGCTTAGAAAAAATGCAAATAAGGAGAGACATGATAGAGGTGTTCAGAAATACGCAATAAGTGCGCAAAGTGGAGAGGAAGACATGTTTTTCCCTCTCCCATAATACTAGAACCCAGCATCAACCAAGGGAGCTGATTGGTGGAAAATTCAGGTGACAGGAAGAACTTCTTCACAAAGTGCCTAGCTAAGCTATAAAGCCCCCTTCCATGGGAGGAAACGATGGCCATCAAACTGGACAGCTTTAAAAGGGAATTGGACAAATGCATGGAGGAAAAGAGTATCAGTGGCTACTGGTGCTAAATGCTCTCTCCGGTATGAGAGGCCGTATGCCTACGTTTACCAGTTGCTGGGGATCATGGGTAGGAGGGTACTGCTATGCTGCTCATGGGATCCCGTGGGCAGCTGGTTCGCCACTGTGTGGATGAGAGAGCCCTTTGGCTTGATCCACCATAGAAACATAGAACATAGAAACAGAGCAAGTCAGAAGGGGCCTCCCAGGCTATCTAGTCTGACCCCCAGCTCCAGCCAGGTCTGCTCACAACATGCCCACCATGTGCATGTCTAGCCTATCTTTGAACACGCTCACCGATGGGGCCTCAACCACCGCCCGTGGAAGCCCATTCCACACCCTCGGGGTCCTAACTGGCAGGAAGTACTTCCTGGCATCTAAATGGAACCTTGGCTCCCTGAGCTTGGCTCTGCTGAAGCGCGTCCTGCCTTCCTCTGCAGGGGAGAACTGGTCTCTACCCACCTCCATGTGACATCCCCTCACATACCTGTATGTCACCAACAGATCCCCTCTGAGTCTCCTCCAGGCTGAAGAGACCCAGTTCCCTCAGTCTCGCCTCATACGGCATCCCCTGCAAACCGACCACCAACCTTGTGGCCCTACGCTGCACTGACTCTAACCTGGCTATATCCTTCCTGTAATGAGGGGTCCAAAACTGAACACAATACTTCAGTTGCGGATGCACCAGAGTTGTACAGAGTGGCAGTAATACCTCTCTCAATCTAGAAGCCATGCTTCTGGCTATGCAACCAAGGGTGGCGTTCGCCCTCTTGACCACCGCATCACACTGCCGACTCATGTTTAGCCTGCAGTCAACCAGCACACCGAGGTCCCTTTCACAAGTGCTGCTCTCCAGCCACTTGTCCCCTATCCTGTACTTATGACAGCTATTCCTATGCCCGAAGTGCAAGACCTTGCACTTATCCACATTGAACGCCATCCTGTTGTCTCCTGCCCACTTCCATAGTCTGTCCAGATCCTTTTGGATCTGGAGTATCTGCTCCTCAGTTGTGGCCACTGCCTCCGTTTTAGCATCGTCTGCAAATTAGATCAGCAGACTGTTCACCCCTTCTTCCATGTCATTGATGACACAGCTCTTCTTATGTTCTTCTGTCACTAGTCAAAGCACACTACATACCAAGTTGGAATAGTCGAGGATGGATGATTTCCCAGGTTCATAGTCAAAAATGCTCCTGGGCTCCAAGGCTGCGGCATCAGTTGCTTCCCAATTTCTCCTGTAAGAGAAGGAGGAGGAAGCCTTAAGGAAACGGTGAAACTTGCTCCCATCCTCCCCTGGTCCTACAACTCCCTCGAGTTTGAGCCCAAGGTCTCAGCAATGACTGCACCAGAACAGAAGGGGTTCCCCTAGTGCAGCGCTCCCTTGTACCTCCTTTGCATCTTTGCACCCTCTGTAGGGCATTGCTCACACACTCTGTGACCTCCTATTCCGTGGCAAAATCAAGTGACAGTAGCTATGCTGAAACCCCAGAATCAGGGACCAAACACCATATGGCCAGGTCCCCCGACTCTGCACTTCCCAAATGATCAGAGACCTTAAGTTCTTGGGCAGTACATAAATAAAAAATAAATAAGACCGTGGATGCTTTGGTGGTTTCCTGACATTTAGCTCCTCTCCCAGTCTCGGAGGCTGAAATACCTTTCCTCAGGCTAAAACGAGGAAAATTTAGCTTACATCTCTTACCACTCAGTGGTGGTAAGACTTGTAAGCTAAAATGCTCTGCTGTTTTTGCCCACCTGCATTTGCTCCCCTCCTTTGCTTTTCAACCTCTGCCACCCATGGAATGCACTCTCAAGGGCTTCTTAGGAGTGAAAGTGGTCCTTGTTCTATCCCATTGATAACATAAAAGCAATTCCAAAGCATGGAATGGCAGAGGGGAAGAAAAATGTTAGTTGTGTACTTCACAACTGAAGTAATATCCATGGACATACAAACATCCCCACCCCTGGAAAACACACACAAAAGAAATGTGGCGCATGGTGATTAGAGTGACAGAGTGGGACTTGGGAGATCTGGGTTCAAATGCGCACACAACAGCCATGAAGCTCGGTGGGTGCCTTTGGGCCAGTCACTGACTCTTAGGCTGACCTGCCCCACAAGAATGTTAGGGGGATTTAACAGAGAAAAGGAGACGGATAATACAAGTTGCCTTGAGTTTCTTGAAGGAAAAAAGGCAAGATGTAAGTAAAATAAGTAAGTTGTTGTTGTTAGTCACGGAGTTGTGTCCGACGCATCGCGCCCCCATGGACAACCTTCCTCCAGGCCTTCCTGTCCTCTGCCATCCCCTGGAGTCCACTTAAGCTCACACCAACTGCTTCAGTGACTCCATCCAGCCACCTCATTCTCTGCCGTCCCTTTCTTCTTTTATTTATTTATTTATTAAAACATTTTATGCCGCCCCATTCGCCGAAGCCTCGGGGCGGCTTACAACAATAAATTAGATCCACATGAATAAAAATTAAAATATATACATTAGAATAATAATAATAATTTAATACACACACACACACACACACACACAATCAATATAAAATAAGCCGCCCTGGCCAGATAAAATTCAATAGTATTAACATTTAAAATGCTGCTTAAATAAAAAGGTCTTCGCCTGGCGCCGAAAAACAAATAACGACGGCGCCAGGCGGACCTCTCTGGACCTTCAATTGTTCCCAGCATTAGGCTCTTCTCCAGGGAGTCCTTCCTTCTCATTAGGTGGCCAAAGTATTTGAGTTTCATCTTTAGTATCTGGCCTTCTAAAGAGCAGTCAGGGTTGATCTCCTCTAGGACTGACCGGTTTGATCGCCTTGTGGTCCAAGGGACTCGCAGGAGTCTCCTCCAGCACCACAATTCAAAGGCCTCAGTCCTTCAGCGCTCAGCCTTCCTTATGGTCCAACTAAGTAAGTAAGGCCTTTAGGTCCAGGGTGTAAAATTACCTCACTGCTCCAAGTGATTGAGTGTTAAGTCATCAGAAAAAGTTATCAAAGCACCTAAGTGCACTAATCAGTTTAATAGCCATGTGTTCCTTCTGAGCATAAAAATGTCTAAAATCCATTTTCTCTTGGCATGCCTCACAGCTCCCTCTAGTGTCCCAAAGAGGCCCTGGAGCAGACGGATTCAGGAGGGCCAGAGGCAGGCAGACTCCCTCAACGACTCTCCTTGCTGATATCTTCTCTGTGCCAGTTCTACTCACCAGTCCAAGCCGTTCTGCTGACAAGAAGAACTGCTTGATGTTAGTGCTGGTGATTGTCCCTTGGTCATGAGTCCCGGTGGCTTGGACCCTGGAGGAGAGAAAAATCACATGTGCACACAGGCACACAGGCACACACACACACACACACACAAACTTCAGACCAGCCATTCCCAACTGGGTATCCTCCAGATGTTTTGGGCTGCAGTCCCCACCATTCCCAGCCTGCATGGCCACAGCAGTTGAAGTCTAGCACATCTGGAAGGCATAGGATTGGAGAAGGCTGCTTTAGACATCTTTCCAGGTGTGTGGGGGGCATATTTCCCTGTGCTGCTCTCTCACAGAGGGACCAACATTTGGATGGCCCCAACCACATGGCCGGTCCACAGTGGCGAGTGCCCTTCCAGATCTGGTGGCCCTTTCTTGGCACGGTGCCTACTTTGAGGGAAATGCCGCCATGCCCGAGCCCTCTTTGCTGCTGTGAGCTTCACATACTCCGCCAGTCCTGGCCTCACGGAATCCACTTATGGAGATGCACATAATTTTAGGATAATTTTGTTTTGCTTGGCTTCGGCTTATCACCCATGAATAAAACCCTCCCTTGGAGCCTCTGGTATGGTACAGAACTCAACACCCACCCACAAGTCTCCAGCAACCTTCTAATTATTTTTTTCTTAAACGATCTGCATAAAATCCAGGGATCTCCCCATAGGTCACACATTCAGAAGTACCTCTGAATTTGTAGGAGAAATCCTGGTCCAGTTCTGGTTCTGAAAGAGAAGGGAAATGCTCAAGCAGGCCCAATTTCAGTGTTGAGGGTGATTTCACCAAATGTCCTCTGTTGGAACCTCTTTTCTACCGGGGGTCCCTTGTGGGGTAACATCCTGCAACAACCATGCACTGGCCAGCCGGGTCTGACCATGCTGGCAGGCTGCAGAGGAAGCTCTGTAGTCAATTAAAGCTCACCTCTGCAGTGGTGAGGTTCAGCTGCTCAGTGCTAAGCCAGAAAAACGGTTAAGGGGAGGCATCGGCATGGGTTGTGAGGGGGGCTGGGGCCCTGACCACTGCCCAGGGAAGCCAGGTCCCCTCCCTGTTTTCAAGGGCAAAGCAAAGGACACAGAAATAAACTGTCTGCTCAGAACGCAGCATGGTGGCCAAACAAAGAATGAAGTAAAGGAGAGTCCAGAGCTATCCTGTGACATAGACAGAGGAGTCTGGCCTCCCTGGAGCGCTACTGTGGTCACTGTTACTTATTAAATGCTCTGGTCCTCTTTCTCTTTAAAAAGGCAGGAAGCAACCTAAAATGGAGTAATAAAGGCAACCACAGATGTAGGGTGCAATCCTGTGCATACAGAGACATCGTGGCTGCCTGGGGAACGCTGGGAGTTGTGGGACTTTGTCCAGACTCAACATGCTCCTTAAACAGGATTAGGCTCTGGCAGCTGTTATGCAGGTTTCAAGCTGCATCTTGGACTGCTGAGATCAAGAGGCAATAATATATTTATACATGGGGGAACAGGTTAAGTTGAGCTCCACATAACACAATTTGAAGGCTGAGACTCTGCTTGTCTAGATCCTCCAGGTGTGTCCATAGCTGAACTTCCTAGCAGCCAGGCTTATTTGCCGTGCCTTTCACATTTGCCAAAATTCAGAGCCACACAGCTTGCATTTCCCAAATCCCTGCAGTCTGGCTGCAATCAGAGGTATAGAAAAAACCGGCAGAGTGAGATTTTGGCCAGTAGAGGCCGCCCAATAATGATGTGGGAATGTGCTTAAGACATATATTTCTCAAAAGGGTGAACATATGTTACCACCTCTATTTGCTGAAGCAAGCTCATCAGAACTAGAATCCAAGTTTTGGGAACTATATTAGCACATTGCTTTGAGATGATCTTACCAGGAAGCTTGCTGTGGATTTGCTGAAACATACTTCGATACCAATCCCGGGGGCTGTCCACACTCTAGAACAGAAGCCAGATGTGCAGAATCATTAGCAGGGGAAAAGAGAGTGGAAAGAAAGAAGGTTAAGTTCAGGAGGAGAGTGATAGGCTTGAAGGAAGATCACATCTGCACCGAATTCTGCCATCTTGGTTTTGCATTTTCATGCTACGCAGAAAGTACAAATGTTAAGAGGGGGAAAGTGGCTCTTTCTAGGGCAAGACAATCTACAGTCATATAAGCTGCACCTCCTGCTGAGGCACTGCTTCCTGCCACTGTGTCCAGAGTGGAAAGACAGGTAAAAGAAGGATGCGGAAAACCTTGAAGAGACTCACCTGCAGAGATTCCATAAGAATCTGTTCACAGAGATGCATGCAAGGCCTCCATGAAGCAAATTTTAAAGTGGCTCTTACATTAGTCCAGTGCAAATACAACCGTGCAGTGTGAAAACAGGGAGCCCAGTTCCAGAGCAAGTACCCTCTCATTTCCTCTCTGGGCAAATTTCCCCCTTCCTGCCCTTTAGCTATAGTTTTGCATTACACATCAGCATCTTCGCTTGAATTCTGTAAAGGAATGCAGGTTCCCATTGGCTGTGGTTAGAGCCAGTGCAGATCTCTTTTAAATCCATGGCTAAGGCCAAGAAAGAGAGAGGGAAGGGTGGAAAATGGAGGAAAGAGCACACATTCCCAGAAAGGGCTTCCAACCGGTAAATCACAGTTTGTATTAACTCTCCACTTCATCTGTACCAGGTCATTCTTTTCCTTTTGTAGAAGTGCTTTCAGAACTATTTGTTTGGCACAGAATGGCCAGGCCAGGCTAGGAAGAGGTTTTTTTTTTTTTAATCCAAGCAAGTTTGGAGAGACCACTGGGGACATTCAGTTTCAGCTCAATCATCCACACCATTCCCTTTAAGATGCCAAGTGGATCCCTTCAAAAGGTTCTGCTCCAACTGCATCTCTCATCCAAAAGATTCTTAAGACCAATTCCGCTTGGCTGCAAGAAGGAACAAGGGAATGCCAAAGAAAAGGCATTTCTGCGTTTTATTTCTGTCCCATGCATCCAAGGACTCACCGAGCGTGATGCGATGGGCATCCCAGACTCATCCACTGGGCCAATCCCGTCATACTTCACCCAGCGCTTTTCTTTCCTTCTTGCATCTTTAGTCCAGGTGGCCGACCAGCCTGGCTGAGGGGGGCCATTCACAGCAGGGCTGGCAGCTGCAGCAGTTGGGCATGGGTCAGGGGCAGCTTGAGATTTCAGTGGTCTAATTTCCTTGGCAGGCCAGGTTGGGTACCAATTATATGCTGCAAAGAGAGAGAGACAGCAGGGCCATGTAGGAACGTGAGGCAAACCTGACCAGCTTTGGGGAAACCCTGTTTTTACTGGGTTTGTATCGTATTATCTACGACAGCCAGATAGGATGCATGTGTTTAGAAGGATCTGTAGGCACCTGACCAGCAGCTGCTGGGGATGAGGAACAAGAAAAGGCTCTCACCATTCTAGTCCACTTGCATCTTCCCAGGGACATGTGGCTGGCTGCCCCCCAAAACCCAGGGGAACCTTGGCCTGTTCCAGCAAAGCAACTCCTTTAAAGTCCTTCTGAGCTTGGAGTTAGAGCATGCGGCTCCACTATTCGCTTCAGCAGTTCTGCGCTGAAAGAAGTTGGATCTTGCCCAGGGAAAGGATGTGGTTCCTCTGGATCCCATACACCATGCCTTTCCTACACTGAACTCCATGGGACTTGCTTACTGCTGAGTAGACCAAGCACAAGGTTCTACAGTCATACTGAAATACTCTGGCTTTTTTGCCATTTCTCTCTTTGGCTTTGGCCCCATCCTCACCCATCCCTGGAAAAGGCCCCCGAGAGCATCTCTAAAATTGAGTTTGGCCCTTAGTGAAGCTCATCTGAACACTAACAGCTATCAGCTCTTCTGCTGATAGGAGGGAGCAGAGACAGCCTGGCTGGCTTAAAACAAAGCCTCTGGCAAATGAACAGGGGGATGGAAGCAAAAGGCAACTTTCCTTGATAGGGGAATCTTTTATTTCCTATATCCTTGGCTGGAATTACCTGAATTCCACTGGCTTGTCTTCTGCGGTTGGGATATCCCATTTTGCACGGTGCGGGCTGCTGTGTCATGGAACTCAAAATTCAGGGTATTTGATCCGCAGTTACGAATCACAGGTACCTTCAGGGAGGGATACAACAAAACCATCACTTAAGTCTGTACTACTCCTCCCTTTCACTGTATCTAAGTCTGAAAAGTGGCTCAGCTCTATTCCACGAGATCGCTTCTACTTAAAATGCATATTCTATAGAAATACGCTTCACAGGTTTGATGTACTTGTAGCAGCCTCACCTTGGAATGGTGGAACATTGCACCTGAAAGCTTTGCAGCTGGGCTCTGTGCATGGAGCGAGGAGACCTGTGCAGACCTCTGCTGTCTCACCTCGTTGGGACCAAGTTCCCATGGTACACCACGGTTTGTCCTTTGCCTCATTTCTTGTAACGCAACTGCCCCAGGGAGTGACTGTTTGGGAGGGCAAGCATGTAGATCGTGGCACTCATGTGGACATGTGAACACACACACACACACACACACACACACACACACACACACACACGGGGAGAGAGAGAGTCTCTGAGCCTGCTAAACTCACTCTGCGGTGAGGTGGAGTCCACACAGTCTGTGGAGTTGACGTAGCCCGAGGAGAGAGCGGATTTGTGCTGTTGCCAAAAGACAAGCTTTTCTGGAGGTGCGAGGGGATGAAGTCTTCCAGACTGAGGCAGGGAGTCGCCTCGGGTACTCCAGCTCTAGAATGAGGTGGTGGAGAGGTAAGGCTGGGCCTTTCTGCTGGGGAAGGAGAGAGGTGGTTCCCATGGCTATGAAGATGCCGCTCAGCATACGACACACCCTGAATGGGTTTGGGAAACAGAAGCATTGTGTAAGCGCTTTGGCCTGGGCCCACAGGGGACACAACCGCAGACACCCTGGAGCAGCTAGGCAGCATGCTGGATCTTTCTAAAGCTGTCATAGGGCTGCAACCCAAGCTGAAGCAAAGGAGCTCCCAGGATGCTCCTCCAAATTTCCACCAGCAATGTTCATGTCAAATCTTTTCTAGATACTCATATAGACGTGCACTATAATTACAGAAAATGTGATTATATGATTATGGGATTTTATCTCAATATTCCATATCGGACATTTGATAGTCAACATGTAATGGTATCCGGAGCGTTGGGTAACTGAGACCATAGCAGTACAGAAAATGAAGCTCAGTCCAGACAAGGCTGAGATGCTATTCATGAGTGGTTCTTCCAACTGGATGGAGTGGGTACAATGTATTATTCTCTGCGGTGGCACCCTGATTGTGGAATTCACTCCCCAGAGAGGTTCGCCTGGTGCCATCACTTTATTCTGTTCGGCACCAGGCTAAAACCTTTTTATTCTCCCAATGTTTTAAGATCTGATTGCTTTAATTGGGGTTTTATTGTTGGCTGGAAATTTTATTAGGCACTGTGTTTTGTTTTATTTTATTTTATGTTGTCTTGTTGTTAAACCGTCCTGAGACCACAGTAAGGGACAGTCTAGAAAAGTTTTAAATGGATAAATAAATAAATAAATAAATAAAATATTCTTGATGGGTTGCACTCCCCCTTTAAGGAGCAGGTTTACAGCTTGGAGGTGCTCCTTGAGCTGAGGCCCAGGTGGCTACAGTTGCTCAGAGTGCCTTCTACCAACATCAGCTGGTGGCTCTGCAGCACCCTTATTTGGACAGAGATAGCCAGCTGTCAGTGATCTTTGATCTAATAATCTGTGAGCTAGATTACTGCAATGAACTCTATGTGGGGCTGCCCTTGAAGGTGGTTCAGAAGCTGCAGCTTTTGCAAAACACGGCAGCCAGACTAACAACAGAGACTGGACGGTCTGCTGTAAAACACCAGTTCTAGCCCACTTGCACTGACTGCCTAAATGTCTCTGAACCCAATTCAGGGCACTGAGTTTGACCTTGAAAGCCCTACACAGCATGAGGTCATGATACCTGAAGGAACGCCTCTCCCAGCCTTCATCTACCAGGACACTGTGATCAAGTTCTGAAACCTACCTCCAACTGCTTGGATGGAGGCAACAAGGGCCTTTTCAGTGGTGGCCCCCCTCAGAGGCCCACCTGGTGCCAATGTTACTATCATTCTGGCACCAGGTAAAGACTGTCCTCTACTGCGGCCTACAAGCTGTTATATAGGTTTTAAGTTTTTCTTCAAGTTTTAAACTTGTTTTAAAATTTTGTATTGTCAATTTTTTATTATGTTTTAAATATGTTGGGAGAAATATCAACAACCTCAGATATGCAGATGATACCACTCTCATGGCAGAAAGTGAAGAGGAACTAAAGAGCCTCTTGATGCGGGTGAAGGAGGAGAGCGCAAAAGTTGGCTTGAAACTCAACATTAAGAAAACTAAGATCATGGCATCCGGTCCTCTCACTTCCTGGCAAATAGATGGGGAAGAAATGGAGGTAGTGACAGATTTTATTTTCCTGGGCTCCAAGATCACCGCAGATGGGGACTGCAGCCAAGAAATTAAAAGACGCTTGCTCCTGGGGAGGAAAGCTATGGCAAATCTAGACAGCATACTAAAAAGCAGAGACATCACCCTGCCAACAAAAGTGCGTATAGTCAAGGCTATGGTTTTCCCAGTTGCAATGTATGGCTGTGAAAGCTGGACCATAAGGAAGGCTGAGTGCAAAAGGACTGAGGCCTTTGAACTGTGGTGCTGGAGGAAACCCCTGCAAGTCCCTTGGACTGCAAGGCAATCAAACCGGTCAGTCTTAGAGGAGATCAACCCTGACTGCTCCTTAGAAGATATCTAGAGCATAGGTGGAGTAAATCACGGGATGAATCTGACCGAACACACTTGAGAGCCCATTATCAGGCCTATGCTGTGGTGGTGAGGGCGGCAAAGAAGAAAGTCTTCTCTGCTTCCATTGCCTCCTCACAATGCCGTCCAGCGGAGCTCTTTCAGGTGGTACAGGGGCTGGTATACCCGGGCCCAAAGAAAGATCTCGTGCCACCCTCGAAGGCCCGCTGTGACGACTTCACCAAGCATTTCAGGGAGAAAATCACTTAGATTTGTCACGAACTGGACTCTACTAGTGAATCAGATTCTACTGGGGAGGTGCCAATATTACCGTCTGGTCCACAATTGATGGCTGAGTTTCAGTTGTTGCGGCCTGATGATGTGGACAAGGTGCTTGGACAAGTACGTCCCACCACCTGTCTATTGGACCCTTGCCCATCTTGGCTACTTAACAATGCCAAGCGCTGGATAGGGACCTGGATCCTGGAGGTTGTCAACGCCTCACTGAGGGATGGCCAGGTACCTGCCCCTTTAAAGGAGGCGGTAGTCCGACCAGTCCTAAAGAAGGCATCCCTGGATCCAGAGGTGGCCGCCAATTATAGACTGGTGGCCAACATCCCGTTCTTGGGCAAGGTGTTAGAGCAGGTGGTGGCGCAACAACTCCAAGCACTCTTGGATGAAACTGATTATCTGGACCCATTTCAGTCCAGCTTCAGACCTGGGTACAGTACTGAATCTGCCTTGGTCGCCCTGTATGATGACCTGTGCAGGGAGAGAGACAGGGGGAGTGCGTCCCTGTTGGTTCTCCTGGACCTCTCAGTGGCTTTTGATACCATCAACCATGGTATCCTTCTGGATAGGCTTGCGGGACTGGGAGTTGGAGGCACTGCTTTGCAGTGGTTCCACTCCTATCTCAATGGCCGATTCCAGAAGGTGGTGCTGGGGGACTATGGCTCTGCGCCATGGCAGCTATGCCATGGAGTTCCGCAGGGGTCCATTTTGTCCCCCTTGCTATTCAACATCTACATGAAACTGCTGGGAGAGGTCATTAGGAGGTGTGGGCTGCGGAATCATCAATACACTGATGATACCCAGCTCTACCTCTCATTCTCAACTAATCCAGGTGAGGCGGTGGCTGTACTGAACCGATGCCTGGCCGAGGTAATGGACTGGATGAGGGCCAATAAACTGAGGCTCAATCCAGACAAGACGGAGGTCCTGTTGGTAGGTGGGTCGGGCTTCGGGGTGGGGGACCTGGACCTTGTCCTGAATGGGGTTGCACTCCCTCTTAGGGACAAGGTTCGCAGCTTGGGAGTGCTCCTTGACCCAGAGCTGTCATTAGAAGCTCAAGAAGCAGCAGTGGCGAGAAACGCCTTCCTTCAGCTTCGGCTGATATATCAGCTGCGTCCCTACCTGGAGAACGACTACCTGGCGACTGTGACACATGCATTGGTAACTTCCTGATTAGACTTCTGTAACACGCTCTACGTGGGGCTGCCCTTGAAGACAGTCTGGATACTTCAATTGGTGCAAAATAGAGCTGCCCCATTGAAGTCTGGGCCCAATTCAAGGTGTTGGTTATCACCCATAAAGCCCTCAACGGCTTGGGACCTGGTTATCTAAAGGAGTGCTTGTGTCCATATATGCCCTCCCGCCCCTTGAGATCGGCGGGGGAGGCCCTTCTCCGGGAGCCCTCTGTGAAGGACATAAGGAGGATGAGTACCCGGAGGAGGGTCTTCTCTGCGGTGGCGCCCCACTTATGAAATGTGCTCCCCAGAGAGGTCCGCCTGGCACTGTCATTATTTGTTTTTCGGCGCCAGGCCAAGACCTTTTTATTTAAACGATATTTTAATTGTTAATTTGTTTTTATTTATTGGTTTTAAATATGGCCGAGATACTCCGAATTGTTCATGTTATTCTATGTTTATTTATCTTCCTTGTAAGCCGCCCCGAGGCTTTTTGCGATGGGTGTGGCATAAAAATGTTATAAATAAATAAAATAGAAGGCCAGATACTGAAAATGAAACTCAAACACTTTGGCCACCTAATGAGAAGGAAGGACTCCCTGGAGAAGAGCCTAATGCTGGGAACAATAGATGGCAAAAGAAGAAGGGGACGGCAGAGGATGAGGTGGCTGGATGGAGTCACTGAAGCAGTTGGTGTGAGCTTAAGTGGACTCCGGGGGATGACGGAGGACAGGAAGGCCTGGAGGAATGTTGTCCATGGGGTCGCAATGAGTCGGACACGACTTTGCGACTAACAACAACAATATGTTTTTAACATGATACATTTTTATTATATTTTTAATGCGAACCACCCAGAGAGCTTTGCCTGCTGGGCAGTATAGAAAATAAAACAATGTTTGTAAGTGTTTGACAATGCCATAAGCATTTAAAATCAGACAGCTGAACGTTTATGATTTTATATTTGATTCCCACTGAACTCTTAAACAATCCAGTCATAACAAATGGAAAAGACACACATGTTGTGGTACAAACCTGCTGTTCAGAAAGCAAATCTAAATGTTAAATGTTTACAGCCACCATTGGAATGGTAAATTTGGGAACGGTTATCAATATAAATACTTGCCTCTATCATGTATCAAGCAGATAGTGAGCTTTTTTTTTAACCTGAGGCTGTTAATTACTTTATCTACTTTTGGTTTCATCACAGAATTGCGAACTGAGCTCCGCACAAAGATATTTTCCATTCTTGCTTTTCTGCTATACAACCTTTAGTGCTTCTACGCAATAGCAGAATAGCACAAATGTACCAGTAGAAACAGCAATTTAGAAATTATGCCCCATTTTCCCCATTCTAAAAACAACAAACAACTACAACAGGACAGCATTCTGAAACAACAGAAGCAAAACAAAAGGACTGTGGGGTGTTTTCTGAAGCACCTGTAAACAGCCTTGAAGAAGGAAACACAAGCGCACAACAAATGCTTTGCTAGAAACACTCATTATTCCCATGGTAAAAACAATTCAGGTGGCCTGGGAACAAAGAGCAGAAGCGAAGGGAGTAGATTTTGTTCTTGGGGCACCTCTCCATTTCTGGCAAGGTTGCAGCGCCTTTGATAGGAGGAGGTCCCCTAGCAGAAGCATTTTCCACTAATGCATCTCTTTGCTCGGGTCCAGAAGTCATGGTCCCATCAGGAAAAAAAAAAAGGTGAGTCGTTGTGTGAGCAAAAGGAAAGGGGGCAGATGATGGTCCATAAACCACAGAGACTTTGGCATTCCTGCAGGACTTTCCAGGTGAAAGCAGCTTAATAATTTCCACACCTTCCTTTATAAGACCGAGGGACACACCTCAGGGACGCTGTGCCCAATTTCACCGTCGGTTAATCAAGAACAACAGACTGCGGCATGGCCGCGCATGTGGCTGCGCATTTGCAGAAAGCAGCCTCTGCGCTACGGACTCATTCTGAACTACTCCAGAGGACACTTGATTATTTTATGGATTAAATAAAATCAATACATACTAGGAGTTTTCCGAAACAGGTTCAAGTGGTGTTATCTACCAACCACATTTGCATTGCAGCCATTTGCTAACGGGACATGTGGGGTTTTCTCATTCCACTTTTTCCCCATGTGGAAATCTTACAGGCTAGGCTTGTCTAAAAAATCACAACTTGCCTAGGCCACACAGGTAGCTTTATTTCTGGAAGGGATTTGAAGCCAGGCCTCCGATTGCAATAAACGTTTTTTAAAATAGAATATTTTTGCAAAGCTTACGTGTGCTCAAGAACTCAGAAAACAGAGGGGTACACATGTGGGGCAGTCAAGGCCGTGGTCACAAGCCATATGAAGCTGGAAGTCCTTCTTAAATCCCCTTTTAATTACCAGACTCAGGGTAGCCATTGCCACCCTTATTTTAATCTGAAACAATGAGGACTAGAAAGTTGGTTCCAGATAGCATTTTAAATTCAATGCTGGATAAAGAGAATACCCACAGGCCTGCACCGACACATTTTGGAGAAGTGCACCCCACCCCCCAAAGCTGCCTCTGGTGACTGGGAAGGACATGGGAAAATCAAAAACTGCATTTGTTGAACTCTTAGTACATTCAGCCCCACAGTTCTCTGCGCTGATGGGCACAGCTATAACTGCCTGATGAAATAACTGCCCGACTAGAAGTCCCAGGGCCTTACCCAGGAATGGATCAAATCCCTTTCCGTTATTTGTAATAGACATAAAGGGCACCACTGGGATCTTCTTTCCACATCCCAGACTGATCTGTTCTGAACCATTTCCTGTTATTTATTTTTAAGGCAAGCACGTGATGCAGTGAAGCATAATGATGATGATTAGGATGTCATCACAAGTTAAAGGATAATCAGAGGCTCACATTCGGGGATTGACGCATCCCAGATCCGGAGTTCTGACGCATCAGTGGCTTTCATATGCAGATGGTCCTCCTGCAGAAGGTAATCAGCTTGGATTTGCCTCCTCTGTGCACAGAGAGAAAGAGAGAGATCGGTCCGGTCTGCGCGTCATGATAAACCATACCATGCTGAGCACCATAGGTGAGTTACTTGCTCACCAACCCTCATTGCTTCCTGATGATCAAGAGCACACTGACTTGGCATGACTCCTGAGCTCCTCAGTCCTCCAGCCAGCTCCCTGCACATGTCCCAGCATCCCCTGATCAGTTTCCTTGCATGTTACCAACTCCATTTCGGAGCTCCCTTTGACAGGCAAGGCTACGCAGGGCAGAGAGCCGAATCTGCACTCTTGCTCATTTGGGAATGAGCAGACTGAAAAAAAATGCATTCTTCCAGTCACATGTCCTGCTCTTGCTCCTCACCATCCTCCTTGTGGTGAGGAAGAGAAGTGACTCCATAGCTTTTGCCAGTGGACCTCCTAAAATTTTCCTGTTCCTGGCACCCCCTCTGTTAGGGCACACGAGCAGGAGGGGGCTACAGCACTGAATTCCTCCTCTGGGCTCCCAGAGACATCTGCCTGGCCACTACGCGGACAGAAATGATGACTAGCGAGGGCTTTCTTCTGGTCCCCCTCAGCTTTTCTTCTGCCTTGATGTTCCACTGCAAAAGGTTAGCTCTCCTCCGGGAAGGTGCAAAAGTGTTCCAAGTCTCCAAGTTTGCTGCAGTGAGTTACTAGAGCAGTGCTGGCTGCAGATGTTGTCTACCACAGACAGTGTTCTCTGCTGGGAACCAGGGAAACAAAGTCTCCCTTTCGCAGCTGGTATGGTGCCCAAGCGAGGTCACTGCCTGGACCCTTCTCTACCAGTGTGTGCAGCGCCTGGCCTTTCATTATGGCTGGGACAATGCCGATCATTTTGTATGAATAATTCAGCCCCAAACAACACCCTACAGTTTGCTCAGCTGCATGGCTGCATTCTTGTGAGGGTGTAGAAAAATGGATATGGTGGGAGGGGAGGAAGCAAAGGTTTAAGAGTGGGAGACAGGAATCTCCAAGATGTTGGAACTTGGGGTAGGTGGGAGAAGCTGAAAGAGGCAGAGGGGCCATGGCAGGCCTTGCGAGCAGAAAACTGCAAGGCACGCTCATGTAGAACCCCGAATTCAGTGGACGGTCCTGAATCAGCTAAATCAAGGCTGTGATTCAGAATCAGGCAGCTCTCATCCATTCTACCATATAAGGTCCAGCAAGAGCTCTTCCTCTTGTGCTCCATGCAGAGCCTCGCTTCAAGAAGACTTGTTGCAGCAGGAAATCCTTCCCCCACTGTACCATACACATTTTTCTAGATAAAAGCAAATTGGGATGAAGCCAGAAAACAGCCATAAAAATGATAAAGGGGCAAAATAACTTGTGTTTGTTTTGTGCGGGAAATAAAGATTGCTGAGAAGGCATGACATCATTTGATAAATATACTAACATAAAAAGTGATAGCAGGGTCACCAGCAGCAAAGTGCTTTCTGCACTTTGTACTTTTTGTACAACTACATCATTTTATTTACCAAGTGTTGGCATCTCTGAATAAGGCATATAACCTGGCACTTTACTGAGGCTTTTTCTTCCTGGTGGCTTTTTCCCTCTGGTAAATAGGGGAACCTGAACAACTTCCTTTTATCTGCCTTGTATCATCCACTTTCATGAGATGAGCCCTTCTTCTAGCATTATTAGAGAGAGAGAGAAAATGTCTCAGCTTCTTTCACATCAAGCATGTTTTTATAAAAGCCTATTGCGTCTCCTTACATGCCTTTTTTCCTAAGCTGAGCAGTCCCACCCATTGTAATATTTCTCCACGGGGATTTATTTCTTGACAGTTTATAATTTTGTTTTCTCCCCCACCCCCCGCCCCCATCTTTTCCAGCTCTTCACTGTTCTTTCTGAGGTGTGGTACCCAGAAGGATACAATTCCAGGTGCAGCCATGCCATAGGTTCGTATGAAGGCACTATGACATTGGCAATTTCGTTCTGATACCTTTGTCTAACTTGTGGAATTTGCCTGATTCACAGCAGCCGGACATACATCAACATTTTCTGTGACTTACACACCCCAGCTACAAGGTCTCTTCCATGGTCAGTCACCACCAACTCACATCTTACTACATTAAAATGGCTTTTTACACTCTGAAGTCCATTTCAGTACATCTGCTTGCCCTGAATGACATTTGCTGCTGTAATGCCCATTCCCCTGATTTGGAGGCATCCTGTGGCTTTTTACACAATCCTTTTTTTTCATTTTAGTCACCCAAAATAACTTGATGTCATCAGGAAACCTAGCCACGTGATTGCTTACAAATTTCAGATTGTTTACACACGAGTTCAAAGCACAGGACCCAAAACAGATTCTTGGGGCCCTGATGTTTGCATCCCTCCATTATAAACTGACCATCTCTTTGTTCTCCGTTGTGTAACTAATTACTAATCTGTGTGAGGCCCTCTCCTTTTATCCCATAACTGCTAAGTTTACTTGATGGGGGTCTTTGGAAGTCCAAGTAAGCAATGTCAACAGGATCGCCCCCTCTAACCCTAAAAGGTCAATGACATATGAGTTATTATTATTATTACTACATTTAGTAATAAATATTATTATTATATTTCTATGCTCCCCATAGCCGAAACTCTCTGGATGGTTCACAACATTTAAATCGCTCATCCGGATTTCAACCAGACCTACACCCTGCTTAACGTCCAAGATCAGGCACTTCAGGCTATACAGAACTCAGCAGAAGCCATCTTATTTTTCTGCAGGAGTTGTTCTTCTATATGCTTATAACTTTAGCATGAATAGCAGTTCCCACCTGTTTAGCCAAGCCTGTAATTTCCTGGATACTTTAAAAAAACTTTTTAAAAAAGTATCCCTGGATACTTTAAAAAAACTCATGTTACATTGCCCATTCTCCAGTCCTCTGATAAGGAGTCTGATCTTAGGGATATTTTACATATTTTTGTTCGAAGATCAGCAATTTCACATTTGAGTTATTCAAAAACTGTAGGATGAATACCATCCAGGGATAATGATTTGTTGATTTGATTAACCATTTAAAAGCTAACAAGATGCCAGTGGTAGAGTAGAATGCTGGTCTGGGATCTAGAAGATCTGGGTTCTAGGTGACTTTGGACCCATGACTGATTCTCAGGCTAACCTACCTTTACAGAATTGTTATGAAGATAAGAGTGAAAGGAAGAGGAGGAGGATTGTGTAAACTGCCTTGAGTACCTTGAAGGAAAAACAGTGGGATATACATTAATTAATTAAACTTCATCTTTTGTCACCAACATTTGATTCTTTTCAGGCCTCTACCCGAAAACATCTCACTACCTACCACTACACTGCTGTTGCTCACTTTGGGGGAGAGGCAGTTCAGCACATTGGTTCTTCATGTTCTATTCACCAATGAGAAACCAGCAATCCCTCAAGCTTGTAAGAATTCATTAGGCACTGCTCATAAGGAGAGACTGGGCATGTTCAGCCTTGAGAAGAGAAGACTGAGGGGGACATGATATCACTCTATAAGAGCCTCAAGAGCTGTCACAAAGAGGAGGGTCAAGATCTCTCCTTGCTGGTGCCAGAGGGAAGGACACGGAATAATCAGTTCAAGTTGCAGCAACCCAGATTCAGGCTGGACAGCAGGAAAAGCTTCCTCACTGTTACAGCAATACGACAGTGGAACCAGCTGCCTGGAGAGGTGGTGGGCTCTCCACACTAGACATTCCAAAAGAAACTGTTGCTTAAGGAAACTATGATAACATGGGCACAAAATTTTGGATATAATATTGAATTAGAAAAGTGGCAAAAGCTATGGGAGAGAAATATTAAGGTAACTTTAGCAACTTCATATAAAGAAAATTTATATAAAATGTTTTATAGATGGTATTTGTCGCCAAGTTGATTAGCTAAGATGTTTCCAAATATATCAAATGGATGTTGGAAATGTAAACATAATGTGGGCACTTTTTATCATACATGGTGGACCTGTGAATATGTGAAAAAGTATTGCCCCAGTGTGGTGTAGCAGTTAAGAGTGTGGGACTGGGACTCAGACGACCTGAGTTCTAATCCCCACTCAGCCATGGAGCCAACTGGGTGACTTTGGGTCAGTCACACTCTCAGCCCAACCTACCTCACAGGGTTGTTGTGGGGATAAGATAGAGGAGGAGATGTAAGCTGCCTTGAGCCCTTTGTAGGAAAAAGGCAGGATATAAATCGAAAATAAAATAAATAAAATACATAAATGGCTTGAGGAAATGCTACAAAAACCCTTAGCTTTTAAATCTGAAATTTTCTTGTTAAGCATTATACCGGAAGATATTAGCAAACAAGAAATGTATTTGATGTTACATTTAATCACAGCAGCGAGAATTGCGCTTGCTCAATACTGGAAGAGTGAGGAATTACCCACTGAGGAACTGATTTTAAAAAAGATTCTAGACTGTGCAGAAATGGACAGATTGACTCTATCACTGAAGGAGAAAGAAGATACTGACTTCTATCAAACTTGGGACCTTTTTTATGACTGGCTGGAGAAATGGGACTTGGCTTAGATTTAAAGATGTTTTTAAATTTTTAAAAATCGATTTGAATATGATTATAGAATGTTAAAAAGATATGTTGTAGGGGCCTGACCCAGTACATCCGATGTATTTGATGATTGATGTTTTTAGTCTAAAATCTTAATAAAAATCTTTATAAAAAAGAAACTGGACAATCATCTGAGTGGGATGGTGTAACGTGGTGTCCTGCAACAGCAAGGGGTTGGACGCAATGGCCTTCATGGCCCCTTCCAACTCTACCATTCTATGATTCTATGATAAGGACTAGAATCTTTAAATTTCTGACTTACATGAATGCAAACTTCTCAGGAGCCCGGATTCTACAATCAAGCTTGGGAGGAACCACAGCACCCACACCGCTCTGGTTAGGGGCAGCCAAAGATCAGGGTTAAAAAGCAAAGTTCTCAAGGTGACCCAGCGTTATGTGCCAAGAAAAGCTAAACTCTGTGACGCTGGCGGACTGACGCTTCTGTGGGATGCCAACATCGCAAAGCAGACTCCAGCGCAGATTGGCTTCCTGCAAGCTGCTGCACAGCATTTTTGGCTGCAGACTGCAGCAGCATACCTGCCCTAGAGTGCATTGGAAGGCTTCTTGGAATCTGCTTCCTCTTCTCTGCCTCCTCCCTCCATTGCAAGTGCCTTAAGCGTCACTTAAGATGTTTCACAGAACCGAGCCCTGCGTCTATGGAATCTACCTGAATAAGATCCAGCAAGCAGCTCCAGCGAAGCCCTGGCTCCCATCCCCAGCCACCTGAGCCACAAGAATCATAATAAACCATCACTGCTCCAGCCCAGCATCAGCAATAGCAGGAAACATGGATGAGACAAACAGGGAAACATGACCTGCTCTCCTTCCAATGGCAAGCAGACCTCATTTATCCAGACTAAGGGGAGAAAGCACGGCCCTATTCTATTTTTGGCCCAGGCAACACAGTCCTGCAAGAGTCAGCATGAGCTATGAGGACATCCCTCTGCAGAGGTACAAACTGGGTTCAGAATCTTGCAGCCTAGAAGCTCTCCAGGTCTGTCTGCCTGTCATTAGAACAGCATATTCAAACCTGAGTAGGATACGTGAGACTTGGATGAAAGCCCTCCTTTTAAATGGTCTTTGCTAATCCTTGGGCAGAACTGGTAGTTGGTGTGGAGGAAGCAGAGGTGGGGTCTCTGAAGCCAGCCAATGCAACTGCTCTCCTGCAAGGCCCTCTAGCTTGTTGTACATGATATACAGCTCATTAACTGGTAGGTTAAATGACTGGCCAAGGAGCATTACTACCAACCCATGCCATCAGCATCAAAGCCAAGTCATCTCACAAGCTTCAGAACTGCCAGTTTGCATGACTCAAAATAGAACTGACTTTCACAATTAGAAGGCAGGAGGCAGACATGCCGACTCTAGGCTCGTCCACCAAACGAACAAACAGACAAACAAACAAACAAGGCATCTTGTGAGCTTGGGAGGTGCTAGGCAAGAAGATCTGGGACTCAGGCTTGTTGAATAAAAAAAGCACAAATTTGCACTAGCTGATGTACATGTGCTCTAAGTCAGTCTGTATGCGATTCTGGCCTGAGAAGCAGAAGGTATTTGATGTCAAAAAAAATCAGACAGAAAGATTCAGGAGGGACAGCAAGAGGTGAAGCATATTTGCTAGCCAGCTAATCCAAGAGAACCGGGTGCAACAGAGTTTATTGGAACTTCTGGGCCTTTATTTCAGCAAGTGCCCCAGGATGGCAGGGTGGTGGGCCACATGGCCTCCCGGGGCTCCAAATGAAATATGTGCAGCTTGAGCCCCAGAGGGCTGCTTCTGCTTGTGACAACGAGGACCTTTTGCTTTGAGGGGGAGACTTTCATGGAGTTAAATAAGCCCTTCAACTATTTATCCTCATCGCCACCCCTTTCCACATAATCAGGGATTTCAAGAACAAAGGCGATCCTATATTATTATTTATAATCAAGGGCCAACACTATATACGGAACTTTATGACATATGATACACTACATGAGGTGGTAAGAAACTTGCAATCTAAATTTATATTGTGGGGGAGAAAACAGTAGGGGACTTGAGAAAAATGGGACTGAGGAAGGATGGTACGAGAGCAAAGACAGTTACTAAGGGCTAACCCAGCTGTCAGTGTGACTGGATTGTCTATTGTCGTTTGCTTTCCCTGCAAACTGATGGATGGTCACACTTCTTCCTCTGCTCTCCCCCTTCCCCAGCCACTGATTGTGCATGGCATCCTGGCTTCTCTAGCATTCCAAATTCCAAAAAGTTGAAAAGCATCACCTAAGACGTGGTTACCAGCAGTAAAAACTTAAACCTAAAATATGGTGGTATTCTCCAGCAGTGGAGAACTTGAGGTCCCTTTCGCCTTCAGCCCCTGCTACCACAGGGATTCAGCTCCTAAATACTTCTCCGAAATTGAATTTGGCCTCTGGAAGAAAGGGACTACTCAGGGCCCTGAGCAAGACAGACTTTCTAACCGTGGTCTTGAACACACTTTCTCTGCCTGAAAACAAAGGTCCTGCACAGCTGTTCCGACCAGTTCTGCCACATCACAGAGCATGTGTCTGTCTTCACCTTAAGGAAGCTAAAGTCCTTTGGGCAGCCCAGGGCTGTTGTGATAGAAGAGGGAAAGATGCACACATATTTATTGCTAGAGTTCCCAACTGGGGGTGTTTAATAAAGGCACAATCTGTGTAGCCAGAAAAAGTCCTAGAAATCCCTGCCTGCCCCAGGCCCTTTTGCCCAATCCCTCTACTGGACTTCTCCACCTTATGTTCTTACATCCCTAATCTAATACTTGTAGTGAAATGATTTTAAAAATGCCTTTGCAGGAACAATACAAAAAAGCTAAAATGTGATCAGTGCATGCATTGCTAAATGGTGCCGAAAGTCCCTTGATGTTGATTATACAAATTGCTGTTGCACAATCAAAATGCATTGGCTGATAGGAGGAGAATGCATAACAAAGGAAGGATTTGTTTGTATCTCTGAGTAGTTTTTCCCCTTCACTTTACCTGCATTGTCTGTTTACCATGGAATTGTGAAGCAGTCTCCAGATGCTTTCCAACTAAACTACCACACCCAGGCTGTTAAATCTGATGGCCAGAGTCCAATACAGAATAAGTATGTTTATTCTGTGCTGCAGAGTGGGAAATATAAGTGAAATATCAAGAGCTGAGGCCAGCAAAGGCTCAGAAGCTGTTCCGAGTTCCCTCTTTTGGTACCTCTTGGCCGGCCTCATACTTTGCTACAACACATGTTGAAAATGATGGCTGCTCCTTCCCTCAAAGAAAAGAAAAAAGAAAAGAAAAGAAAAGAAAAGAAAAGAAAAGAAAAGAAAAGAAAAGAAAAGGTTGCCGAAGATCGCAGAGTGGTAAAAGTCATTGAAACAGATGCAAACCTGAAGTTACAGCTTGCCTAGCATTAAGCTATACTGGCTGTAGGCGACGGGAGCTGCAGACTAAAGCATCTGGAGGGACACGTGTGGGGACAGCTCTGCTCCTACCTGGGTGGACAGAAAGCTGGTCTCCCAGTCACAGTGTAACAGACTTCAGCTCTCAGCATTCCCGATCCCTGACTATGCTTGCAGGGGCTTCTGGGAGTTATCCTCCCAAAATGTGGAGATCTGCCTTTGGCCCATCCCTGTTCTACTGTAATTAAGCCCAGTTGTGTGTAACTAAGTAATTGTCTATTCTTCCCCTGCTTCCTTATGCCCCCATGACTCCCCCCTTCTCATTTTTGCCCCCCTCCCTGGAGAACAAATGTCCTTTTACAGGAGGGTTTTTTATCTGGGGTTTTCCCCTCTGCTTTTCTGTATGTTCCATTACACAACGTGAGGTGGCTTCATGGTACAGAGTGAAATTTAAACTTCACACAAGGCTTCCAAAGTGAATAACAGCATCCTCCAGGAATGTACTGCATTATCCCCACTCTTAAAAAGCTGTGAAAATGGCTGGAAAACATAGGAACTATAAGAAATTTGGGAACACAGGTTCAGAATCGGGAATCCTGAAGCTGAAGTCTGAAACACCTGGATATCTACTTCCTGTCCACCCCAGCAGTGGGGCAGCCTTCCATTCCCATCACCACTGATGGAGGGAGGAGGGATAATATATGTATTATCATATACCATATTTTTCTGTGTATAAGATGATACTGTTTCTTAAAAACACTCACCTAAAAATGGAGGGGCGTCTTATAGACGGGGGAGGGGGGCAAGAGGAGAACCACGTGCGCGTGTGGGGCAGTGAGGGGGGCGAGGCGGCACCCTGGCCCCGATTCCTACCCAGTTTTCCTTCCCTCTGATCTGTTAAGGGTGCTGGAGAAGCAAGGAGGAAAAGACTTTACATCTCTGCTTAGTAACAGCTGGAAGAGCTCTTAGAGGGAGAGAAACCCCACAGCAGGGCAACGGCCTGCCCACACACACCACACATCTTGTGAAGAGCCAGATGAGCCGCAGGTAATATAGCTGTGTCAGACAATCACACTTTTAAAGATATCTTGCACAAATGACACCCACTCTGCCTTGATCTTGCATGAGTGGAGGTCAGGCTGTGACACAGAAGATTATCCTCGGGGGCCTTTTCCAACCTGGTGCCTCCAGATGGGTGGGACTATTTCTCAGAACCTCTGGTTAGCTCTATGGTCAAGCACACCTGGGACACCAGGTTAGGAAAGGCTGTGATGCAGCACGCAGAACAAATACTTCGTCAACTTACTGGAGCAGCGGGGTCTCACGCAGCATGCATCTTCCAAATTGCAGTGAAGAGAAGATTCAGAGGGTGGAATGCAGCAATTGGAGAAGGGCTTTCAAGTGGTCCTGCGACACGCAAAAGACAAATTACTCAACACTGTTACATAAATGCGAAGGAACATCGTTTCCACATTTCTACAGCATCCAGCTTTTCTGGGGTGTGGAATTTCTGTTGCTTTGGTGTCGAATTTGCATTTTTAATGCAGACCAAATGCAGCCTCTGTTAAGGAACATGTTAATACTGGTGCAAAGTAGTGAAGTGAAGGAGCAGGAGGTTTTGCATGCGCTGGAAGGAAGTGTCGTTCTGTGGCGTTGAGCGTGTGAAGGCAATGCACTTGCTGGCAGCTAGAGAAATGCTTTGCACCAGCAAAGTACCTTTCTCGGCCATATTGTTCTTTTAAGGCGGGGTGAGCTTCCTATGGTCCTCAAAAAGTTTTAGCCCCCTGTTGTCCTGAGCCCTCACTGTTGCCTGTGCTGGCTAGAGCCGATGAAGTTGCAGGCCAAAATACCCGGAGGGCCATGAGTTGCCCACCTGTGCTTGAAGGAAAATTAAATGGGCATGGATAAGAGAGGCAGGCTGGGACTTTTAAGGCCATGACCAGCAGGAAGGGGGAGAGGTTTGGTTTCTTTATACCACCTGCCCCAAGGGCCAGTTTCTGCACAGCTCCCCTCCAGGGCCAGCATTAGGACCAGGAGCCACTGCAAGGTAAGAAGTGTGACTCTGAGGTGCCCCCTGGCTCCAAAGCCAGGCATGCTTTCTTGGAGCCCAACCCACACCCTCCCATCGTATGTAAGGTGAGCAGCTGGGGATCTGAAGAGCCTTGCAGTGCAAACGCTTCCACACCCTGCAGGGAAATCCCTTCATAGAAAGGCCATGCAGGAGCGGGGGTGGAGGAGAGCGACGTGCCTGAGCAGGAAAAGAAAGGAAGAGGAAAGGAAGGGAGAGCCCACCAGTGCGGAATCCAGTCAGATGAGACACAATTGCCACGGGACCAAGGACCAGGACTAGTAGTTTCATGGAGCACAGCACCTCAGTGCCCAGCTGCCAGGTGCACCCCGAAAGGAAAGGATGGTATCCTTGCAGGGCCTTCAACCATAACTTGTCTACTCAAGATGAGTTCGAGCCGTCTAACTCCTAGGTGTAGGAATGCAGTCCTGCTCCCGCCATAGGATTAATATGCCAACTCGCATTCACCAGTGTGGCCAATGGTCAGGAGTGCTGGGAATTGTAGTCCAAAACATAAGGAGGGCACTGGACTGGAGGAGACTAAACGAGTGGAATGGGGTCACAAAACCTCTACTGCCAAAGAGGACAATGTGGTGTAGTGGTTAAGAGCTGAAGAGCTGGGACTCAGGAGATCTGGGTTCTAGACCCTGCTTGGCTGTAGTGCCAGTTGGGTGAATTTGTGCCAGTCACAGACTCCCAAGCCCAACCTACCTCACAGGGTTGTTGTTGTGGGGATAAGATGGAGAGCAGCAGGAGGAGAATGATACAAGCTGCTTTGGGTTAACAAAAGAAAAAAGGTGGGATTCGACTCAAACAAAAAAACAGCACTCTAAAGAAAACAGCGATGGGTAGGCTCCGAGTATCAGCTCCTACACGTGGCCGTGAGGGGGGGGGGCATCCACTCTCCCTCCCCCTTCGCTGCCACATGCTCCACTTTGATGCCGTGCCATTATTTTTGCAAGACAAGGCAAAAGCATACAGTTGGCAAGAGGAGGAGGGACGGATGTTTCCGTCAAATGATCTTTCTTCCTCCTGTTTTTCTCTTGATGCCAGCGGGGCGAGGCAAGGGGAAATGATATGAGTGGCAGCAGTTGAAACGCTAAGGATTCTTTTGGCTGCTGGCGCTAAGCGACGGTTACCGCCGAAAGACGCTATCACAACGCCACTGACTGCCTTGATATCTGCCGTGCCTTCTGTCCTCCTCGCTCCCGAGCAGCGCCTCTGATCCTGACTTTCTCGGTGCCAGCAAGCCTATTGCCAGTGCCCAGCCGTCAGGGGCTGTTACTCTGCAGTTTGTTTTACTGAGGGTGTAAACAAGATGGGCACAACTCCTCAGAGGAATTCTGTCCTGTTTGCTTTCTTGCTCAAGAGACAACCTTGCAAGACAGACCACAAATTGGCCTTTCCCAACGTGGCGCCCTCTGGGAGCCTGCGTCAGACATGCTCCCACTGTTCCCAGCCAAGAATTGCGTGCCAGGGAAGGGCAGTGCCACCGTTCTGTTCTGCAGACATCATCAGACACTCACCCTTTGTGCTGAAGCAAGATCTGGCAAAGGTGTCCTTCCTATTGCGCTTTCAAACGGCCTTGTTTTCCACCAACTCGTTCATGCACACGCTACATCCAGAGTGACGGCTGATACCCTCCCAAGCCCCTGCTCCTGGCAGTTCATAGACAGCTGTCTCCTAACAGACCACATCATCTCTTCCTCTGTGATTGACTACTTAGACCGTCAGCAGCTCTGCAGGGACTCTGGGAAAGAGTTCCCCTTGTTGCTTGCTAGCTGCTTTTTTCTTTTTTGTTTAAGTGGGGATGCCAGGAATTGAACTGGGAACCTTCTGTATCTAAGACCAATGCTCTGTGAGTAAGCTACAGTTCCCTTAGAGATGAGGAGGGATTTATACCCGGACCTTTGCTCGGCCAGTCTTATGAATCACTGCTGTTCCCAGGGATACGGTCTCTGCGGCCCTCGCAAAGCGCTCTTTGCCATTCAAGGGGGAGGAGGTCAGAACTGGAATTGCAACTCTCGCTCAGGAAGAGCTCATAGCTGTTTAGTTTCTTCCAAATGAAGCCAACCGTCTTCTGCCAATCAGGGTGGCCTTGCCTTAGAAAGGCCTTCTCCAACCTGGTGCCCTCCAGGGAACTAAAGTTCCTATCATGCAGAACAATCAGGCTATGCTGGCCTGATGCAAGTTGCCATTCAAACATCTGGAGGGCACCAGGCTGGGGAAGATACATATGAGGATGCTTTTGGCATAAGACAGTATTTGCTAAAATTATTAGTTATTTACTTATTAAAAGCTTTTATAGACTGTCCCATTACTAACGTCTTGGGATGGTTTACAACAAGCACAGATAAAAATGGCACAGCATCCAGCAATTCACAATAACATCACAATTAAAGCCAAACAAACATTAAAATATCGGGAGAATAAAAAGGGGGTTGCCTGGCGCCAAAAAGAAAGAAGTGTTGGTGCCAGGCGGATCTCTCTGGGGAGCGTATTCCACAATTGGGGTGCCACCGCAGAAAAGGTCCTCCTCCAGGTACTCACCTAATCTCCTACAGGGAGGGCTTCCAAAGAAGGACCGCCACCTCAAATCTCAAGGGGGGGGGGAGGGCATATAGGGAAGAAGGGGCTCCTTCAGCTATCCAGGACCCAAGCCATATTACAATACTAAGAGATTAAAAACTGCTTTCAAGGAAGTCACCGGTGTGTGGGTGTGCCAACAGAGCAGAAGACCTCTGTTCCTTCCATTTCTGCCTTCCTTCCCAGACATATCTCAGCCACAGGCTCCCTGGTCAAGATAGTGGGCCAGTGTGCACCATCACCACAGCCTGCTGTGGCTTATTTAAACCACAATGGGTAGTGGCATGTGTGGAGAGCCAGCCTGACTATTCAGCCTCTGGTGACGGGGGGGGGGGGTGCCCTAGTTTATCATTCTAACCCAAACAGCAAGGGTTGTTTCAGCCCTACGGTAAATCACAGGTTATCTGAGGCTTGTTAGGTCCTTGCATAGCCCATGGTTTCCGGATACAGATGGCAGAAGCTGCAGCCATGAAATGAATATTTTTAAAAAATCTCCTAGCATGCACTGGCCTGCTTGACAGCCTAGAGAGAATCCAGAATGGGCTTCCAAGCGACTGAAATGCTTCTCCCCAGTCAGTATGAGCTTCAGCCAAAAATATTTGGCCCCATCCCTGTTGCCTTCAGCCCCACCCACTCCTGAGATGCAGCCCGGGAGAGCTTCTCCCAAACGAAACCTGGCCCTCGGGTTGAAAGCTGGTCGACAGCCCTGCTCTTGGGAGCCTGGGCTGGCTGCGGGAGAGAGAGCGAGTGGCACCTGCGAAGGGGAGGGCAGGGGAGCAGCTCTGGCAGCCCCAGGATTCTCCAGGTAAGGAGGCAAAGCGTCCAACTCTGTTCCGCCTGGAGGAATTGGCATGTGAGCCTCTTGCAGCGAGCACACCAAGGGGGTCAGGTTAGGGCAAGAGGCCCGTCAACTTTACCATGGCGGAAGCCCTGGAAGGCCAAAGTGCATCTGAGCTGATGAAGGGCCCTGTGCCCCCACGCACCTGTGCCGCACTGCACTGCGCAAGACTCTCCTAGCTGAGCTCCCGGCGGGCGGCGTGTCTACAGGCCTGATCACACTTCCAGCTTCGCAAACCCAGAGCAGCCGGTCAGCACTTCTTCCGTTCTTGTGGGTGGGTCTCAGACAGATGGGGGCCGAGTCCGCATGATCACCGGGGAGAAGAGTGGCAGTTTCCACCTCTGAGCATGCCAGTCGCGTGCTGTGTGATTTGCCTGCATTGCCCTCCCCGTGCAGGGGCCACGGTGTCACCTGAACCGGCGTGACGCCTGCAGAAGTGGCTTTCATCCACCTCAGGATCCACGGCTTGCTGCACAGTTTTGGGGCTGCTGGGAAGCCCCTCTGCGGCAGACTCCGAGGACACGGCAACCGTGCCCCACCAGGGCCATTTTGCACGCTGCACAGCACACAAGTGGGACCCACGGCGCAGAGGACAGAGGCCAGGGTGCACACCCAGCCACAGAGACGTGCTCCGCTGTACTCAAGGGCAAGCCCAGCCACGGCCCCCTCCCCCGACTTGCACATCCAATTCTCTATACATTGGACCTCACCACATTCCCAAGGAAAGAAAGCCAGGAAGGGGAGGAAAAATGTGGTCTCTTTGCTCCTCGGCCCTAGGAAGAATTTTGCAATGTAGCCTGCATGCCTGTAAGCACTTGGCCAGCCATGCCAAATCCATTCTCACCCACACGCCACGTTCCCCTCTCAAATTATTTCTGAGAATCAAGCCATGTTTCCGCTCAAAGAAAACCCGTGTGATGGCAGGGTGGGGGGGACGCCGGTCAGTAAACCTCCCCGTCGTTCTGTTCACCCCGATCCGTGGCTGTCCCTGCAAAGTGGCTGGCATAGAACTTTTGGGGGAGTCTGGAATTCATTACTTGCTAAGGCCAACTCGGCGTTGTTCCCTGCAGCTTCCTCTGTAAACATTTCCATTCCCCACCCCAGTCCCCCCCCACCAGCCCTAAATTGCGCTGGTGTTGTTTATCCTCGGGCAATATGAGCAAATGCCCATCTTGGCTTCATCTGAGATGTTCCTATTCAAAGATCCTGGACAGAAGAATGTTGGGTGGGTGGGTGGGATGGGAGGAGGAACTGGGAGGGCTGAGAAACCAAAACAAGCATTGAGAACACCCATGTGCCTGATCTCCCAAAGTATTCAAAGCCAAATGCCTTCTCAGAGAAGTGAGGAGTCCCGGGATAGAACACTGACCCAGGTTCAGTTTCTGTTGGAAGGGGACTTAAAGGCATTGCTAGTATTTGGCATTTACTTACAAAAATACCAGTTGGCCATAGAGGGGGCACAGCTTAAATGGTTCATCGGACAGCAAAATCCACTGCTCCCACATTAAGGGCTTTTTGCGTGAGACATTTATTGTGCGGTCAGTTGCATTTTTACTTTTGGCTTTGTCTCTGCATCGAAGTTCAAACTCTGCACAAAGAACTCGTTCTTTCCTGCTTTTCTGCCACACCGCCTCTAGGAGGAGCTGTGTTACAGCAGAACAGCATGCATGCACCAGGAGATAGCGCCCCATTTCCCCTGTTTTAATGTAATAGCTCATTTGTCCCATTCTTCAAAAAAAAAATCCCTCCTGTGATTGAACGGTGGGTTGTTGTTGAAATGTGGGTTTTGTGTTGTCTGAGCCCAGTTGTACCAACAAGCCATGGATTGTTAACCACAAAGAACACATGAAGAGAAGCCATGGGTTGTTGTTGTGAAATATGGGTTGTTCATGGCTTCTCTTATGGTTTGCTCATCTTGGCTGGGTCCAGATAACATGATGATCCATAATTCCAGAACAACCAATGCTCATCAATACTCAGGCCGTAAGTGTGGGTTGCGGGTTGTCTGAATCCTGTTGCTGATGTTAAGGAGAATTAGTTGAGACTCGTTACACTGACTAGCCGGCATATTGAGTGAGAAGCCAGCTATGAAGATTAATATTTACCCTGCTGCATGAAGTTCTCTTTACAAGTTCAAAGTCATCCTGGGGCTGCTTCTTCAAAAAGAAAGCAGTGCACATCATGGACGCCTTCCCAAATTCGCCTAATAATGCGCAGGGCTGATTACTACCTCCTCATCTCCCTGGGAGCTCCACACACCCTCGCAGTTCCATCACCAGCTTGTGGTGTTTCCAAGCATTTGAACTGATGGAGGGAGTGCAGGAGCTCTGAGTTGTTCCTCAACAGCGTAGCCTCTGTGGAAGGAAGAGGCAGCAGTTGAATCTGGCTGAGAACCTCACGCGGTGCACAGAGAAAGGAAGAGAACTGGAGCCATCCATCAGGTTGCAGCAGAGGGAGACGGGAAGCTGGGCCACTCCACTGGCTGAAAGACCAGCTCCATCAGATCCTTCTCCTCCTCCCTGAACTGTTTCCATTTCGGCAAATCATTATCAAAATGATCAAACTTTAAGCCTTGGTGCCTGCACTGGCTGCTTTCCTCTTCCTTCCCCTTCTGGTTTTCCTTTTGCATTCTGCCTTTTGCATTGTGAGCGTCCTGAAGACCCTCCCTGCAGATACCAGGGAGAGCGGATGCTCAGCATGCGTCAGGCATATCTGGTACGGTGCCCCGTCCTACACAAGTTACAATGCTCCTGTATGACTAAGGCTACTATGGAGTTTAATTCAAGGACGGACAGCAGGAAGGATTAGTAGCATTTCTCCTAGGATATTAATAATAGACTTATATTAATGCTGGACATGGCCCAATTTTGTTAGGCCTGGCAACCTTCCACGCTCTCTGGCATCGCTCCCTCTGAGCCAGCACTGGCCTGAGATGTTTTCCTATCAGAAGCAAGAAGTGAAACAACAGCTTTCCCTACTTTAAAGATCATTGCTCCTTAGAGCCTTACAGAGTTGGCCTCCCGGTACCCATTCTTTGGTAGAAACACTGAGAGAGGGCCAGCCAAAAGAGGGATATGGGGCAGAGGGACGCACTACGAAGAAGACTTTAGCAGCAATGCTTGAACAAAATCCAGGAATCGTGCCGACAGGCATAAAGCGAATGAGAACCCGAAAGGAACCGTGAACATTGCTCTGGCTGCAGATTGCCCCGTGACCCACTGAGCAAACACAAACCCCTTTGCTTTGCAAAACGGACAAACTGGGGAGAATTCCTGAGAAGAGCTATGCAGATACAAAAGAAAGCCAGAAGGCCTACCATAAAAAGGAAAAGTTGGAGGCAACCATGATAAAAATAGTCCTGGAGGGGGAAACCCCCAGTGGGAACATGCTGACAGATTTCAAATGGCTGTCAGCAAGAAAAAAGCAAAAAAATATTAGTCATCATAAGCACCAACGACACAGAAACAAACAATGACGTTTTTAAGCAACAGGACAAGGGAATTTAGGATATGTCTGAGTAAGATGTGCGGCTCTAATGAAAACGCTAGTAGGGTGCAAGCTCACATTCCTTGGAGATTTTCCCACAAAGGACGAATGTGCTTTAAGAGCAACAACACCTTGCTGGGCCTCCAGGGGACCTCCATGGGCTCCGTCAATTCAGCAGGGCTGCCTCTGCCCGTCCCATTGCTGCCGTGCAGGCAACACCCTTCCTCTTACTGGCCATAAGTGCCCCAGTTCCAGTCAGCACTTTGACAGCCGTCCCAGCCAGTATTTTCACAGGCACTGACCACTGTAGCCCATGAGATAATAGCCCAATTGCAACTGGAATTTTGACAGGCTTTTGTCTCCCCTGCTCCCCCAGCTAGTCATTCTTCCCCCTCTCGGTGGGGTAGGTTTCTAAACACCTCCTTGTTTGCAGCTCTGCACCCCGTCATATAGGAACCTCGAGGCCCACCCAAACACTTC